ACCGATTTTTCTTTGCGTGCAATGGACATATTTCTGTTTTTCGCGATAAAGAGTTGGATATGCTTGTTCTAAAGACTGAATTTTTCTCTTTTTCACAATTATCATTAGACAAACATTCATTAATACATTTAAAAAAACAATTGACTGTCTTTCGCATTTTTAAGCGTAATTGCTTCATTGAATTTATTGGATTTGTCATTTTCTGAGGACTACCAAATGGCAGAAAAAATGGCAAAAGGAACGCTTTAAATTGACATCTTCTAACAAATTAGAATTATTACCGATAAATTACCCTTTCCATTTAGATTAAGATTTAAATTACAATTTACCAGAAATTAATTTTCGTTTGTTTGTTTGCTTGTTTAATTGTGGTTTTGGCACTAGTTTATATTAACTCCATATTAACTAGACACCAGTTTCCCTTGGTTGTAATGGAGGAACGGAGGACAAATGTTCAAAGGAAAACAGTGAAGGGACAAAGAAGAGTTTTTCACTGGAAATTATATTTTTTAAAATAAATCAAATTAGAAAAGGGTTGACTCATAAGCTTTATAGCAAATATGAAGATTTGGTTATTCTGCCTTTGGGCTTCGAGACAAGACAAAATAGCTCATACTAGCATTCACTTCAAACCCAGCGATACTCAAACTCCCGGCCCTAATCGGCATATGACTCACTTAAGCAAAACCATTCTATTGATTAGAAGAATTCAATTTTGATGCCGAATCGTCCACATTGTTCACAAAGCTTTAATTTTAAGTTATCACCAGTCAAACAAGGGAACAAGATACACAGAAGGTGCCCGGCCCTTTCAGTCGTCCTAGGTTCAGAATTAAAGAAAGTCCGAGTAAAAGTAAGCAAAAGTTTGCAAAATATGCAGTAATTTATTGGGCAATAGTGAGTTAATTTAGAGTCTCTTTTTTTCTTTTCATCCTCATCCCCTCTCCCCCCACCATGGAGCCTCAGGTGCCAGACTAATAAAAGAGCAGTAGCATGATTTTTTTGATAAGCTTTTTGAGAATCAGACGGTACTCATATTTTATCAAATACTCAGCAGCAACTTCCTGCCTCCAGATAATACAATTATTCTCCGTTCCTGTCACTTGGAAATTTGGAGTTCTTTTGAGTATGTATGTCGGGAATTTGTTTTGCTATAATTCATCTGAGTCCTGATCAAGGTGAAAAACCGTACTTTTCAATGACCTCTCTGACATCTAGAAGAATCAGAGAATCGTACTTACGGGTACTTACGGGGGGAGTTAGGCTTTGAGACCTTCCAAAACTTAAAAGTTTTTCGGAAGAAAAAAAATGTCGTCGTTCGAAAACCCTACTGTCGAAATCTGGGTAGTCTACTGCCAGCTGTGTGTACAGTTACCAAAAAAAAATATGACTTTAACTGCTTCGAAAGATCATAAAGACACTGAACGTGCTCGTTTGATGAATATTTTATACAAAACATCTTTCAACAATGAGCACTAAATCAAATTATAACCCAGCCTATAATGGCTTTTTTTTAATACGACTGACATTTAACAAAGGATTCAAAACTCCATTCAATTGCTACCCTGCAAGTAGAGGCTACATTTTCGCGGTATGAGACCGCGTAAATGAAGCCTCTGCTCGCAGGGTATTCAATGGCATAAAAATGACGTAAAAAGTCCGAAATGGCAGATTATTTACTCCTATTGCAACCAAAACAGCTCCAAAAAGAAGGCCAGGAAAGTAGGTCAATACCAGAATCAAAAGGATCCAAGCAACTGTGTTAGCTAATCGTTTTTTTCCCTTTTCAAAAATGAGTCGTTTCGATTTCCCGTTTGAATGTTTTTTCTAAAATAGATACTAAGATAACAGAACGTGATGACAGATAAATAAAAAGGGAAAAGCACTAGAAGAAAAGCTGGTGCCATGGGTGTGTAAACTCTGTTTAAATATCTGGTGTTGAACACTACTTGAAAGGCCAGCAATCAGGTACGCCTCGTAGCGATGCTGACTAGAGTTCTGCGCCTCCATGATTCTATCCTGAAGTTTGAAAAAAAGAACGTGGGACTTCAGTTCAGGGCTATTCGATAAGTTACATGGGTGAGTTGAATGGTGCATTCATTGACAAAGCAATGATAACAATTAGCGTAAAACTGACAAATAAAAAAAAAGAATAACAAAACCTGCAGAGGACAGAAAACGTAGTTGCCAATGTTAAGTATGCGGTGTCGAATTTCACGCTTTGTAGGGAAACTGGCTGGAGTTTTGGGCAGCCATAATTTTATCCTTAAGTTAAAAAAAAGGAAAGACGGGAGGAAACTGAAGAAGAACGTGGCACTTTGATTCCGCGCGGGAAAAAATGGGTATTAATTAGAAACTCCTGTTTTCATTGGTCCTTGTCCTAGGATCAATTACTGGTAACCAATATTAATATTTTTTGCGATAAATTTTAAGAAATGCACAAATAGTTAGCACTATTTACTGATGGTCTCTAACTAGATATTACTTCAAAAATTAAGAATTTGGGTGAAGGCGACATTTTTTGCCGTAACGGGCAAAAGTAGATTTTCATGACATCCTTACTTCTCTCTCTCTCTTTCGTTCTCTCCCAGTCTTCTTTAGCACATCGGTTAAAAATAATATCATTTTTTATAAATTTGCCGTAGATCCAAAAAGAACAAAGCAAATCATGAAAAAGGACATCAGGGTCTTACCTTGACTCGGGATATGTTTCCTTATAAAGTTCTTCATTTGGTGTTCAGTGACACGCATTATGGCTTTCCCTCAAGTAACTGATATCAGACTGATATTGACTGACACCAAGTATTCTCAATGTCTTTATATATTTTTGTACAGAGCAAAGATTGAGAGTTAGCGACAATATTGAAAGTAGTTTTAGTTGGGTATTGCTGGACTGATCCATTAAAAGAAATTGGTTAATTGGAAGGTATTTTGAATGGATAGTAATGGGAATGGTTAATAGTGAAACACGTTACACCTGCCGACATATTCTACAACCAGTTTTTCACTATTTTCTTCGTCATTTATTGCGCAGCAAGAAATTCGTTAACACGCGTCCCAGATGCGTTCACTTTAAAATCCTAGCTCTCTCTCTATCCAGTATTTCACCATAAAATGATCAATTTTTCTTTGGGTGCAAAGAGCATATTCTTTGCGGTTTTCTGTATGCAGAAAGCGTTGGGGATGCTTTTTCTTAAGACACATTTATTACCACAAAAATTTACATTTTTTGCCAAGAATCACTTGGCTGTCTTCCGCATTTCCTTTAAGAGTATACGTAATTGCTTCAAAGAATTTAATGGATTTGTTATTTTTTTCCAAGTACTGCCGCAAAGCAGAAATAAAGAAAAGGAAAACGCGTTTAATTGATCTTATTAAAAATCAGAATTACCAATGAACATTAGCTACCCATTTAGATTTAGATTAAAATTATAGAATTTACCATCAATTAAAGATTTTTCCGACGCACTGGTTTCTTTTTCTTTCTTTCATTCTTTTTTTTTTTTTCTGGTAACACGGCAATCACCTTTGCGCCTTTTACACAGATAATGTTTGTAGGAAAAAACTGCTTTTCTTTATTTCACCTTGAGAATTTTGTATATTTTTAGATTATTTTCATTGTAGACCCAGAGATGAATTTGTTCATGGTCCAGTCAAGTAATAATTAGTCTTTCTAAGACGAGGTCGAGGCTATGATGACCTGATTTTCAACAGTCTTACTTTTCATTTGGCCGATTGACTTTGATTGGTTTCGCAAATCGAATAAAATCGAACTGAACCGTTCGATTTTGTTAGATAATCGAAAAAATTGCTGACTAAACTCAAATCTGTTGGTACTCATATTTCATGTATTTTTCAGAAAAAATTATTAAGAGGTAAACATCTGATACAGTACTTACTCCTATCTCCGTTCCTGTAAATTGGGAGATCTTTCATGTTTGTTTTTAAGAAATTTGTACTGCTATAATCAGGTGAGCCATGGTTCTATCCTAAACTAATGAAAATAAAAAAAAACGTCATTATCCAACTTCCGAGTATATATGGAGGGCCAGTTAGGTTCATTGAATGCGACCATACGGTTATGACCTGGAACATCCTGCTTTCAAGAATTGTGAGAAACTCGAATACAGTTACTAGTAGACTGAAATATTTCTGACTGACGGTCTCGCAATATATATATCTTAAAAAATTTCGTTAGCAAGCTTTATCTCACCGGATTCCACACAAAAAAATTACGTTAAGGAAAGAAATAAGCAAAAAAATAAAATAAAATGTTACTGCAGCGAACCCATGGTTTTTACCTTGATTCTGTCGCTCATAAAGTTCTTCTATTTCAGGTGATCGTGAATTGTCAGTGGATGTCTCCGCCATGCCTTTTTAAGGTAAAGAAAATAAGCAATATAAAACCAAAAGTCGGACTGTTTTCATCACTACAGAGCGTTGTCAATCTCCTTTATCCTTGAAACTTATCTCAAGCATTAAGAGTGAACAACAATGTTGAAAGTGATTTTAGTTAAGCAGTCCTCGACCAATGCATCAAGAGAGCTTTGTTGATAATTTTAATGGAAAATAATGTGAACGATTAAGATAAAAACATCATACATTCTGTAAACACGAGGAAAATGCTTTACAAATTTTCCTTTTCCTCTTCCCAATTTTGCAGTAAGAAATTTGTTCACAAGCATCGTCGACATGCTTTTACAATTTTCTGCCTCTTTTTCTCTGTTCCTTAGTTGATCCTATATTGATTTTTTGTTTCGTGTCAATTTATGCGCTTGTTCTTGACTTGCGGATGAAGAGGAGGAAGATCTTTTTCTCAAAGACTAAAAAAAGCGTTTCTCTTAACAGTTATCACTAGAACAATTGTCCGTGCATATTTATTGTTGGTACACCCACTTGACTGACTTCCGCATTCTGTTCAAGTGTAATTGCTCTGAAGAAGTCAAAAAATAGAAATTAATTTAAGGCCGAGCCATTAAATGCTTTTAACATGATTTTAATTTATTATTATTATTATTATTATTATTATTATTATTATTGTTATTAATATTATTATTATTATTATTATCATCATCATCATCATCATCATCATCATCATCATCATCATCATCAATGTATTTCTCGACCAAACAACTAGAGGGATTTTATAGAAACAATGAAAGATAAATTTCTAATAGATTACGAAACCCAGGGTAGCTGCGGCAGTCGTCTTTGAGTCTTTAACGCTGGAAATTTTTGTAGAAAAGACAGATTAATGCAGTTTTTACCAACGAGCAGAGGTTAGTCAGGAGTTTCTCTTCCTTCCTGCCATTTTTCAGGTTGTGTGTACCAACCGGGAACATGGTCGTCAAACTGCTCTACAACCAGTGAAAGTGCATTATTTTGTTATTGTCGAGTTTGTGTATATCAAAACAAAGTACCTTATAAAATGAAAGGTAGCGATTCAATAAAGTGCAAATAAATGGCCCCGCACTCGACAACCTCGTCCGCAGGGGTGTTCCATCATAAATTGGGAGAGGCTGCCTACCGGAAATAAGGTTGCGCATCAGTTCTGACCGTTCTGACGTTTATCTTCCTCTTTCCTAACGTACTCTCATAGAGTAGAGGAGTGTGTCTTATACGAAGAAATGAAGAATTTTTGTGAATACACTTTCTGTTCATGCAAAACACTGTAAAAAAAATATTTCTTCCCTTTTTGCTCGCTGATGCTCTTCCCTACCTGATGTCCGCCGTATTTGTAGGACAATAAAGGAGAGTTTGGCAGGATCAGATTTCCGCAAGAATTCTTAAAAAAGCTGTCGATTCCGTCACGTCACGGGCAGTTGTCTTCAAATCGAGTATTTCTGTAAGAACCTCGCTTGAGATTGACGAAAAGGTGAGTATTATGTCTAAGCGGAACAGGATGTAAAATAAGAACACCTGGTTATGCACTTGTCTAACAAAGTTATTTGTTTCCTGGTCAACAGGAAAGGCTTGCCGCAAAACGCTTGTGTGCATAAAGCCCCAGTCTTTAACATTCAACAAGTCTTTTATCCTGCACATGTGCGGCCTTAATTGTGTGTAACTGTTTCTGCAATTAGCAGGGTAGTTTCCTTGCGAAATGCGGTAGCGTTTCCATAACTTTTCATGATGAATGGTAGATATCGAGGTTCCTCACGGTGGGCATATGTGAAATCAAAAACGCTCACCTTCACTCATCTTTTTTAGTTTCAACGCAATTCACTTGAAATCTTGCAACAATATAGAACTCACCATTCCAATAAAAAACCGCATGCTTTTTGTTTTTCAGATTTTGGCATTTTGGCGGGAAAAGATGTCACAAAGTTTCCGCCAAATTTTGTTTTCAATATTATGGGATATCTAATGATGGTTTCTGAAAGAAGTCACCATAAGGATGTCAAAAGTGAAAAAAAAAATTGAAATAGGCCTAACCACTCAAAAGATATTAGCGTTTTGAAAGTTCAATTTTCCGCCATTTTGTTACTAAAAATAGAACAAAATGGCGAAACATTCAAGTGGTAGTCTTTTTACGTTATGCTCTTTTCCCCACTTAAAAGTTCCATGTTGCCTTCCACGTTAATGCTACATTTACATTGCCCACTAAAATGTTCCTTCGTCTCCCAAAAAGTCATTAAGGCTCGTTTTATCACTTCTAAACGTCTTAAGAGGGTTGTTAAAGGCTAACGAAAATGTACACAAGTGCATTGACAACAATTTATATAAGCTAAGAATTTTGATACAGCAACAAATGGTCCTCTACATGGCTGTATTGAAGTGAATTTTTGTTTGTTTGTCTGTTTGTTTGAATTTCGAGCTTAAATCGTCATTTTCTCTTTAAAATGTTTTAATATTTGTTGTCTCTGAGATAAAAAAAATTCCGGGAAAATGCTACACCGCTAAAATGCTCTAATAATGCATTGATAAATGTGGCTGTAAATGGTAGGTATGTACATGAAGTATTTAATTTCAGTGGTTTATTCAAAATTCCATATTTTCGTCGGAGTGTTCCGGGTGCTCTGGCATTAAGCACACAAGGTCTTGTTGATCTCCCTTATTATTTGTTATTTTAACAATTTTCAATTGTGGTCACTTTCTTAACCGTTGCAAGAGCCGTCTCCTTCTAAATTTCATTTAAATTGGTGGTGCGATAGTTGGTTAAATCGCTTTTGTTTTTATTGTTTTCCTCATATGTCATTGCAGTTGCTGCTTTGGTAATGTTGTTACTTTTTGGGGCTGTTATTGCGGTGGTCGCTGTTGTATGAGACAGCCTGTGATGGTTTTTGTTGTTGTTGTTGTTGTTGTTGTTGTTGTTGACAGCTGATGATGGCTGCACTTGGGAAGAGCATTTAAACAAGTCTCTAACAGCTTTGCGCATATTTCTAGAACGACCGAAGTTTAACAAGGGATTTAAAACTCCATTTAACTGGATAAAAACAGTGTAGAAAGGCCTAAAACGCAGAGAATTCTTATAGAGTCCTTTCGCAGACAAAACAAATGGGACAAGAAGCGCTGGGACGTAGGTCAATACCAAAATTAAAAGAATCCCAGCAACTGTGTTAGTTAATCGTTTCTTGCTTTTCAAAAGAGCGTCGTTTGGATTTCCTACTTCAACAGTTTTTCGAAAATAAATGCGAAGATCAGAACATTATGATAATTACGTAAATAGCGAAAAGAGGTAGAACTAAAGTTTGTGCCAAAAGTTTGTAAACGCCCCCAAAAGTTCCTGACAAGAAGATCGCAACTGCACTAACCACACTGGTGCACCGCGGTATGCATACTTCCTTAAAAGCAGGTGATTTTTTCACGTGATTGCGATACCACCAAGGACTTCGTACTGCCAAATAGCGATCTCTACTGATAACTGCCAGGTTGCCGAGCGTTGCTTGGATGCAAAGAGCACTTGTGGCAGTTAGAACAGGTCTAGGGTGCACGTTTGGACACGTGCAGCGTTCGTATGTGAATAGTTCTATGATTTTGTGCATAATATACAAAGGCAATATTGCGTCAGTCACTGCCAAACTGCTTATCATAACCATCGCGGGATATTGAAGGGATTTGGTTCGTGCAACAGCTATGATAACAAGCGCATTTAAGACAAATGACGAAAAAGCCAGAATAAAACTCAGAGGACGGAAAACGTATTTGCCAATGTTCAGTAAATGGAGTTGAGTATCGATTGAAAGGTCAGCAATCAGGCAATCTTGGTAGAGAAACTGGCTAGAGTTGTGCGCAGTCATCGTTCAAACCTGAAATTTGAAAAAAAAAAACGATTCCACTAATTCCGAGTGTATTTTTGGGTAACCTTGGTTCGTTAAGGGACACCCGCGCGATACTGAGCGATTTTCTTTTATGAATTAAAACGTCAGTGCTCACATTAGATCTTTGTTTAGAGTAATAACTGATAATATTTGACACTTCGTTTAAGAAAAATTTATTAATACTGAGTCATTTTTACACCTTTTGCAATACCTGCGAGAAACTAGCATACAATTTAGTGACAGTCTTGCACTATGTTACCTTCAAAAACTCATGCTGAAAATTTCGATTAACCGAAGATGAGACCTGCGGCAACACTAAAGTAAATTTTCTTAAATCATGTGAAAGGAAGTAGAAACAAAATGAAATAAAATAAAATAAAAACTTGTTGCAGCAGACACAAAAAGAAGTACTCTCGCTTTATTCCACGCTTTGCTCATTTGCGTGACCGTGACAAGAACACTAGGAAAAAAACTGACGATAAGTAAAGCAAGAGACCATGTTTTTTACCTTAAGCTTGGATACAAGTTTTCTCATAAAGTCCTTCTGATCAGTTGATGTTAATAAATCTTGACTGTCACAGTTAAAGCTTGACAGAATAAATAATATCAAACTGAGAAGAACTGTTTCAGCACTACTAAGGACCGTGGTTGTCGACTATCCCAAAGTTAATTGTCACTTTCCAATAATTGAAAGTGATTTTAGTTAAGTATAGTCCTTGACTATCATGATGAATTAAGAGATCTCAGTTAATAAGAAGGAAATTAGAATAAAAATGAGATACAATGGGAGTGATTAACATAAAAAAAGGCCCACTCAAACTGTAACCACTCTACAAATTTTCTCATTTTCCTTCTCAATTTCAATTGCAGCAAAACAAAATTGTTCACCCACAGCTGACGCACCGTAATTGCTTTCAGAAAGGCGAGTTTCCGTTTCGTGTCAATGGGACGACATATTTCTTTCCTTTCAACTGTAACCATCTTCCGTAGTTTAATAATTTGTTAAAGCGTTATAATGGCTCCAAAGAATTCAATGGTTTGTCATTCTCTAAGGACATCCGAAAACTAGGAATTGAAGAAAAGTATATTGAGTCCTCTTCATGTAATTTCGTTATTTAATTGGTTTTAACATTTATTCTTCAACTTAACATCCAACTGTATGTTTCCATTCCAAGTATTTTAGGATATAAAGACTGATAACCATCGAGAGATATCGAAGACATCTGGTTCGTGCCACAGCAATGATAATTTAATAACAGGCAAGTTGAAAACAAGTGACAAAAAGGCCAGAATAAAACTCAGCGGACAGAAAACTTAGTAGGCAATGTTAAGTATCTTGTGTTGAACATCACTTGGAGGGTGAGCAATGAGGCACACTTTGGAGGGAACTGGCCGGAGGTGTTCAGCCAAGGTTCTTTCCTGAAATGTAAGATGAACGTGCTTGCAACTCCCGAACGTATATGGTGGGTAAACTTTGTTCATTAAAGGACCCGCGATATGGACACTGAAAATTTCTTTGGTGAATTAGAACGTCCTGTTTTCAGTAAGATCTTTGTTTAGAGGTATAATTGATAATTAACAATTATTCCTCGAGCCCGAATGGGCTCTGAGTCAATAGCCCATGAGGCCAAAGGCCGAATGGCCTATTGACTCAGAGGCCATGAGGGCGAGAGGAATAATTGTTTTGGTAAAATCCAACTAGTTTGTCAAAAATATCGATAATAAAAAAAAATTAGCTAGTTAAAGCTAGACTTTATTCCTTTTTTGCCGCCAAAAAGCCCGCGCTTTTCGCTACTAGTAGTAGCTCAACCAATCAGAACGCAGCATTGATAAGAGACCACTAGTTGGATTTTACTAATAATATTCGAACTTTATTTGAGAAGAAAATTAATACTAAGTCATTTAATTTTTTTTCTTTAATACCACTTTTAAAAGTTGAAAATTTAAGCGAAGATGAAAACTGACGGCAACACTAACAATAGGTCATAACACGGCAATAGTCATAATTAAAACCTTAAAGCACTGAAAGCGCTTGAGGAAACAAAGCTGACAAGAGAAGTGTATAAATGCATACAAACCAGAGGCATAATTATGCTTCTGTACAAACTCAATATACGTTTACTTAGCTTCCTTCGCAACTGAAACAAAGTAGTAAAGGATCGTCGATAACGACTTTTTCCAGAATGATAACAAGTACGTAAACCGCGATAAATATTTTTCTTAAGCGGAGAACCCCATATTTTAGTCGTGGTGTTATTAAACGATGCTCAGACTTTAATCTTGTTCTTGATCTCAACTATTACATGATTGAAGTATGAGCATGGTTTAATAACACCACGACTAAAATATGGCGTTCTCCGCTAAAGGAGAGGTTGTCTAAATTTCAGTTTTAGCGATGCAATAGTTGATAAAACAACTGCTGTTTTTGTTCTTCTCATATGTCACTGCAATTTTTGCGTCAGTGATGTTGCCAGCTTTTGTGGGCTATTGCGGTGGTCGCCGTTGTTGATGTTGTTGTTGTTGCTGTTGCTGTTGTTGTAGCTTTTGTTGACATAAGGTGATGGCTACACTTCTGGAAGGCATTTAAACAAGTCTCTTACAGCTTTGCGCATCCTCTTAGAACGTCTAAAGTTTAACAAAGGATTTAAAACTCCATTTAATTGGAAAAAAATCAGGTAATAAGGCCGAAAAGGCAGAAAATTCTTGAATCCTTTTATAAACAACACTATTGGGAAAAGATGTGCTGGAAAGTAGGTCAAAAGCAAAATCAAAAGGATCCAAGCAACTGTGTTAGCCAATCGTTTTTCCCTTTCCAAAAGAGCATCGTTTACATTTCCTACTTCAATAGTTTTTCGAAAATAAATACCAAGATAACAAGACATTATGACAATTACATAAAGAGCGAAAGGAACTGGAATTAAAGCTTGTGCCAAAGATTTGCCAACGCCTTCAAAACTTCTCGAAAAGTAAAGTACAACGGCAATTACCACACTGATGATCCATGGTATACATACTATCTTGAAAGCACGTGATTTTGTCACGTGATTACGATAGCACAACGGACTCCGGGTTGCCACATGGCGATCTCTACTTATTACAGCCAGGTTACCAAGCGTTGCTTGGGCACAAAGCACACTGATGGCAGAATTGAGCGGGTGAGAGTTTGGGCACATATGTTTGTGTGTGAATATTTCTATGTATCTGTACAAAGAATACAGAGAAAATATTACGTCAGTCAATGCCAAACTGCACATCATAACCATCGCGGGATATTGAAGGGATCTAGTTCGTGTCACAGCTATGATAACAAGCGTATTACAGACAAGTGACAAAAAAGCCAAAATAAAACACAGAGGACGGAAAACGTAGTTGCCAATGTTAAGTATCTGGTGTTGAACATCAGTTGGAAGGTCAGCAATCAGGCAAGCTTCGTAGGGAAACTGTTGGCTGGAGTTTTGCGCAGCCATGTTTCGATCTTGAAATTGATAAAAAAGGAACGAATAAAAATTCCGAGTTTGTATGGTGAGTAAACTTTGTTCGCTAAATTTAACACCCGCACGATACTGAACGATTTTTTTTAATTAGAACGTCCTGCTTACATTAGATCTTTGTTTAGAGTTATAACTGATGATATTCGAACCTTATTTGAGCAAAATTAAATACTGAGTCATTTTTGCAAAAATTGCGAGAAACTCGCATACAGTCAGGACAACTTGCTGACAGTTTCGTATTATGTTACCAACAAAAATTGCTAAAAATTAATCAAGCGATCGAAGGTGAAAACTGACGGCGACTCAAAATTAAATTTTGTTACTGGATACTCAGTTTTCGAAAACAAGCTTGTTTATCTAGCCTGATTCTAAAAAGAACATGAAAGAAAGGAAAGAAAATATGATAATAAAATAAAACTTATTGCAACAGACACAAGATAGCGTTTGCATGGCAGTTAAATAAGTAATAATGGTACGATAAGTAAAGCAAGAGACCATGGTTTTTACCTTAATTCTGTAAGCGGTTTTCTCACAAAGTTCTTCAATTGATGATCATAAATCGTTGCTGTCGCAGCAAAACTTTTAATAGCTTGATCGAATAGGAAATATCGATCAAACCGAGAACAGAACTGTTTCAACAAGCGCCGTTGTCAAAGGCTTCCTGATAAGTCGAAATGATTTTCATAAAAGTAATTAGACCTAGACTGTCTTCATTAAGACTTTTGGGTTAGTTAAGAAGCAATTAGAGTAAAAACAAAATATAGGAATGATTAACATGAAAAAACCGGCCCACACATACTGTAACCACTTTAATTACAAATTTTCTCTTCCTCCTTCCCCTTTATCAATTGCAGGGGAAAAAAAACCTGTACACACGTGCCATAATTGCTTTCAGAATGCCGACTGTACGTTTCATACTTGATTCGATGAACGTTTTTCTGTTCCCTGATAACTAGAGGGAGCAGATTTCTTGAAAAACTGATTCGGCCTTTTAACAGATACCAACTTGATTTACATTTTTAAATCCATTTAACTTTCTTCCGCATTTTGTTAATTAAAAGCATTTTAATGACTTCAAAGAATTCAATAGATTTTCATTTTCAAAGGACTTCTGAAAAACAGAAATTGAGGAAAGGTAAGCCTGACCTTCGTCACATAATTTCAATTAGTTTTCACTTGGTTTTATTCTTTGTCTTAAAATCCAACTGTTTTTTACAGTAGCTCAAGTGTTTTATGCAAAGAAACAAAATTTAATTAGTTTTAATGGATTATGCGGATCTTTATAAAAAGTTTTCTGGGCGTCTTAATTTGATTGCATCCGTTAAATTATACAAATTACCAATAACTATATATACTCGTTCTTGGCAAATTAAATTCTAGGTGAATTATATGATCTTATCTTTTGACTAACTTTTTTTAAATAAACACGGCAATCGTCATAAAGCCTTTAACGCAATTGGCTTTTAACAAAACACACCTGATAAGAGAAACATGCGACTACTTGCGTACAAAGTTGAGTGTTTATTGTTTAATATTTGTAATATCTATTTTTGTTTATTTATTTTTAGCTATTTATCCTCGGAGATATTAGCATGTTATTGCTACTTTTCAATTCGAGAATAAATAAAGATTACTGTTGTTGTTATTGTTATTGTTGTTTACTCTGCAGTTTCCATCCACACGTAAACGAAATTGCACGCGACTTCTGCTATGCCGTAGCGTTAGCCGCAGTAAAAAGTACAAGCAAAATTAGTTAAATTGTAAAAGGTTTAAATAGTTTTCATTTCAAGACTAAAATTCTTGTTACTCCATTAGATTCCTGCTTTTGTTCCCTGGAATCTATTAGATTTTACTGATTGGACATGACTGCTACTTTTGACATTCGTTTCAACGTCTCAGATGAATGTTATTACGATGCCAAGAGTCTACCGAATTTTTTCAAGTCCGAACATTGATTCCCCTTTGAAAAAGAAAATTTAAAAGAGGAAAAGGCACTTGGACTTTGTTTGGTTTCCATATGCTTCCCTGTCAGATACATGTGGAAGGGCAGCAGCACGTTGAGAATCAGATGGTACCCATATTGCCTGACTGTTAGACTGTATACGTTAAATTTTGTGGTACTCCGATTCAGAAAATTTAATTAAGTGATATCTCCAGTCCGTACATTTTTTCTACGTTTCTTTCACCTAGAAATTTGGAGATCTTTTAAGGATGCCGTTCAGATCTTTTTATATGAGCAGGAAAATTGACCTTTGGTGGAAATATACAACATCTCTTAAACGGGCATTCAAAGTAATAAGTCAACTCCCTGGATGACCTCCTCTAGGTTATCTGGAGGGGTAGGATTGACTCAGGCAATAAGAGAAAACTCTTTTCATTTGTCAAGTTTTTCTCTCAAACGGAGTATAAGTTTTTTTGAAGTTTCCTGGCTAACACGAAAATCTCATTGGCAGAAATTAATCCCATTGTCGAAAGGTGGGTAGTTTCCTGCCAGTTATAGAAGCTACTATTACAAAATGATGAGCAAAATATGAAAAAAAAATAGCAGACACTGAACTTACACGTTATGACAGTGACGAAGTTGATAAAAAGGTCTCACACCAAATAAAGTTTACATATACTTTATTGATAACAGGACAACTCTCAAAAATGACCACCAAAAAAATTAAAATCTTTCCCAGCCCCATGTGGCCTTAAAATGTTGACGATAAATTGCCTTTTGACAAGCGCTCGCTAGCTAGCACCGTATAAAATCCCAGTAACTATATAGAGGAACAACGAAATGCATTTACTTACGAAAGGATGTTGAGAGCCACGGTCAGCAAAAATCCGGCAAAATCTAGCTTGATCCGTGGCAAGAGTTGCCTTCAAAGGATCTTCTGGTAAAAGAAAAGGAGTTGTTCTTTTAATTGAAAAAGTCCAAATTTCTCTGTGTGGCTTTGTTTGCGAACGTGAGCAGAGTTCTGTTGTTAGCGAATTTCAGGTTAAAAATAAGATCATTTAGAGGTTGATATCATGTGATATTCTTACTTTTCTCAAAAATAAAAAGGCATTTGCGAGAAAACTTTACATCATATTTCTTATATACCTAAAGTTATCTACAAAAAAACAAAAAGTAATAAAAGTTTATTTGTTTCACATCTTGCCACTCGATGCTGGACATTTCCTGACCATCGCTCTTACTATCCAAAACCGCCTGGCTTTTGTCAACTTTCATACTATTCAGGAAATCTCACTGTTCCTAACTAACTTTCAGATCGATGTGGTTGTAAGTGGACCATGAGTTGACAGACGTATTTGAGTTCCATGTTCAGACTTTTAGCGGCACCCAGTCTTGTTCATGATCTCAGTCCGTTATTATCTGTTCTGACTTGTTTGATTATGGTAGTTTCTTAATTGTCATAAGGAGTCTTCTAAACTTCATTTTTAGATGATTAAGTCACCGTTGTTCCCATACGTCATCAGCACTTGCTATTGCTGAGTCGGTGTTGTTGGTGCTTTTGGGGGTCATTACAGTAATCCCTGTTGTATGGGACTGATTATGGTTTTTGCTGCTGTTGTTGCTGGTATTTTTCACACGTGAATCTGGCTGTACTTTCGGAAGGGATTTAAACAAGTCTTTTATAGCTTTTCGCATCTTTGTAGAACGGCCGAAGTTTAACAAAGGATTTAAAGCTCCATTTAACTGAAAAAAGATCATGAAAAAAGGACGAAAGGGCAGGAAATTCTTGAATCCTTTTACAAACGAAACCGTTGGGAAAAGAAACGCTGGGAAGTAGGTCAATAGAAAAATCAAAAGAATCCCAGCAACTGTGTTAGCTGATCTTTTTTCCCTTCTCAAAAGGGCGTCGTTTTGATTTTCTATCATAGTTTTACGAAAATAAATGCTAAGATAACAGAAAATTATGACAATTACATTAATAGCGAATATAACTACACTAAAAATTACTCCCAAAAGTCTATAAATACCTCCCAAACTTACTGACAAGTTAATTACGAGTACAGATACTACACTGGTTAACCACGAGATACATATTATCTTAAAAGCACGAGAATTCTTCATGTAATTACGATACCAAAAAGGCCTTCGGACTGCCACATATCGATCTCTACTTATAATTGCCAGGTTGCCAAGCGTTGCTAAGCCACAAAGAATACTAAAGGAGGCCTGAAGTGGGTGAGAGATTTGACACATGTGTTGGTCTGTAAAGATTTCTATATATGTGTATAGAGAATGCAAAGAAAAAATTACGTCAGTCACTGCCAAACTGCACATCATGACCATCGCTGGATATTGAAGGGATTATGACAAAAAAGCCAGAATAAAGCTCAAAGGACGGATAACGTAGTTGCCAGTGTTAAGTATCTGGTGTTGAACATCACTTGGAAGGTTAGCAATAAGGCAAGCTTCGTAGGGAGAGTGGCTGGAGTTTTGAGCAGCCATGATTCTATCCTAAAGTTAAAAGAAGAAGAACGTAATATTAGTACTTCGATTCTGCGTAGTAGGTAAAATGGGTGTGTTGAATGCCGCTCCCCATAATTTTTAGTATCGAACCCATTTTACCTGACTCGTTTTCCAAAATTTTAATATCTTGAGTGGCAATCACTAGTGGTACTAACTCAATTTATTGATATATTATTAGAAAGTCTAGGTTTCATAAGACTTTTGTTTAAGGTTATAACTGATAACAGTCATGCGATGTTTGAGCAAAGTTGAGTCCTTTTTAAAATTTTTTGGGGCATAAATTGTAAAAAAACGCCCAAGTCGTTAGCACTTTTTTACTGACGGGGCTCGAACTTGTAGATATTGCTTCAAAAATTAAGAATTGATTGAAAGTAAAATTTATTGTTATATAGAAGGATATTTTCATCGGATGCTTACTTCTGTCGTAACAGTGATTGTTTAGCCTATCAGATTAAAATAATGTTAATTTTTATAAATTTGCTGTAGACTAAACAAGAATCATGCAAAAATATTTAAGAAGGCATCAGGGATTTACCTCGTTGACTCCGGATGGGTTCAGTTGTAAAGTTCACCAGTAACCGGCGTTCATGTATCGTGGCTGTCGCTCAAGCAATATTAAACTGAAATAAAATCTAACTGTTCTCGATGTCTTTTACATATTCTTGTACAGTAGAAACATTGAGAGTTAGCAACAATGTCGAAAGTATTGTTAGTTAAGTATTGCTGGACTGATCCAATAAGGATAAATTGGTTTATAAGAGGGTGATTGGAATCAATGCTAAATAATGGAAAAAGATAACATTCAAACACCTGTCGACACATTCTGCAAAGTTTAACACTAAATACACATTTTAATTATTTCTTTCGTAATTGTGCAGCAAAAAAGTAATTCGATGACACATATCCGAATTGCTTCAACTACAAATTCATATCTCTCTATATTCTTTAGTTTATCATTAAAAATCAATTTTCTTTGAGTGCAATGCCCATATTTCGGTTTTTCGGGATAAAAAAGAGTTGGGGATGCTTGTTCTTAAGACACATTAATCACTAGAAAGACTTCCATTTAGTTTTTTTTTACCTTGAATTAATTAGCTGCGTTATTCGTTTCATCAAGGGTACTTGATTTAATGGATTTGTTATTTTGTAGCTAATGCCGCAAAGCAGAAATAAAGAATTAAAGAGAAACGAGTTTAATTGGCGTCTTCTTAAAAATCAGAATTACTGATTATAAATATACAAAAATATATCTGATTAAAATTACAATTAACCATGAATTAAGGATTTTTTCTGACGCACTTTTTTAAATTTTTATTTCTCATTTATTTTTTTACTATTATTTGAACATTGCAACCATCTTTGAGGCTTTGACGGATGTTACTAAAACTGGGAATGGGGAGCGGGGGTACGCGCTCGGGGAACGGAAAAATGAAACATGGCAACAAATTAAAGCAGAGAATTAGGGAGCTTAAGCAACGACTACGGCGACGGCACAAGAACGGCAAAGAACAACAACTCGGTAGAACAACAACTCTGCACGTACATTACGCTTTTTTTCACATGTCTTTGCCGTCGTCGCACGACTACGACATGAAACTACCTAACTTCACTTTGTGTGGAGGACGTGAACACAAGACTACGACCCTCTTTTTCTTTTTCTGAACTTTCATACAGTCCTTTAGAATCAACTCCTGAAAAATTCGCCAGCATCTGAATTGAACGAGATGGAATACGCGTGATTAAGTTTGAAGCAGCACGAACACACCTTTTAACTGATGCTTTCGTAGCCGTCGCCGTCGTTGTTACTTAAGCTCCGTACTAATCTCGTGCCCAGATCTCACTCTGTTTTAAACTGAAAAGTGAGATCTCCCTTTCCCTTGGCCGTGGGAGATCTGGGTACGAGATTAGCTCCGTACTATTGACTCGCCGACTCTCAAGTGTCATATTTTTTTTATGTGTGTGTCTGTATGTGCTTTTCTTTTTTCCTCTCTTTTGAATACTTTTCATATATTTTTCATAGTTTATAGGGTTTGTACTTTTTCTCTTTTTTTCTCTTTTAACCGAACTAAAACTGTAATTTAATCAAAGGGCAAATAATTAGTTTTACTATATCCTGCCCTCTCTATTTATTCTTGTAACCTAATATTTAATTCTACAAATAGCATCTTCATCTTCAACTCTTGTAATACAATATAAATGGCTTGTAAAATAAATAAATGGAGAAAAACAATAAACAATAAACAAATATTAGGGCTAGAGCTCAGGTTTAGTTTTGTTCCCGTTTCTTCTATTTTCCTCTTCCCCCTGCTCGTTCCCCGCTTCCCGTTCGTCATTTTAGCAACATCTGCCTTTGATGTAGGTAATGTTTGTAGGTCCAGAGTTAAATTTGTTAATGATCCAGTCATGAAAGCGTTTTCGTTCCCTCCCTGTACATTTCTCAGCTTGTGTACATGGGTCCCAAGGTGGGAAATTTCTCATCATCGGTCTACCTCGGGTGCATTTGTTGTTGTTGAATAGGAATATATCACAAGGTCACGTTTGAGACAGCTCAAGCAGACTTGGTGTTTTGCAGGCCCCTCTGACGGTTTCACGGACAAGGTTGGAAACGCCCGACACTATTCGTTTTGCGGAGCCGTCTTCGCCAGATGTGCAAAGCAAGCGTTTTGGAACCGACACGACTTCTTCTTTTGGAAGATGGCCGCAGACGTTGCAGTTTTGTCTTGCCTTAGTGGCCTTCCAGATAGTCCACTTTCGAAATGTCGGCCACGAGGCTGCCCTCCCAACCATTCTACCAAGAAGGTGCTTGGCTACGTTCTTTTCAGCGCGCAGCCCGATTTGTGTCAAACTTTCGCGGTGTGTCATCATTTTTCTAAAAGTTGCAAACCTCTAATTGGGCACACTCTTGCTTAGAGCACACGCCTTTCCGGGTGAGCGACAAAAACAAACCAGCCACCCCGAGCCCCGCTGGTGGAGGAAGCCGCCCCAAAGGTGTGTCGAAAATTGACTGTGCCGTCCACTGTTTTTCGCTCTTGTAAACTTCCCCTGAAAATTCTACAATCAAGACCCCATAACAGCGTGGTGGTGGATCATCCGCACGTTCTTCCAAAATGTCAAGCCACTTTGTTTGCGCTGATTGGGATTTTTTATAATGCATCGAATGAAAAGGGTCAAATCTTTCCAACCCCATAGCGGGTTTGGTGTTTCGACTCTTTTTGAATCTCATGGGCCGCTAATTAGCTGATACGCCTGATACACTGAAAGAAGCGTACTCAGAAGCTTGCGATTTGTTTCCTCGGCGATCGGTTCATCCAAAATATTCTGTGCAACGGTTTGAAGCGATGAGTATGCATCACTTCCCTGCAGAAGCTCCTCGACCAACAATTCGTACATCGTGTATTCAAAATCGCCACTCCGGTCCATGAGGTCGTTCTGTGTGGCAATGATGCATATATTTTGTCAATGTCTAATTGTCTGCTCTAGATCCGTGGACCGGGCGGCCCATGGACCGCAGACACGCCAAATGGCTGTTTTCGACTGCAGCCACTCTGAAAATTATGTTTGCTGTTGCCGCCTGCTCGCAGCTTCCGTTCTGCTGCCTTCGTCCTGGCTGACTTTTTTTTTGACGGAGTCACGTTCCAAGGTGTGCTGGTCACTGGTGACGATTTCCACCCCCACCCCCCTCCCCCCGAGTAGTAGAGAAGGATTCAAAAATGTGTAACCTTTTTTACGCTCGTGACCTGAGGTTGTCGACGCGATACCGGAGGTCACAAACATAAAGACGTTTACACATTTTGACGCCCTCTCTACCACTGTTACTTTTAAATATGCCCCGACTGCTACACAGCCAAGTATATCTTACTATAATGTGAAGAAGATCATTACAGTTTGCGACAAGAAAAGGTCTTAAAAAAGTCAGGTTTGCACGTCGACATTCGAACCCACAAGGTTTGTGCAAGGGTCCGTGCACTGGCACTGAATTTTTTTTCAGGCTTTCTTTTTGGAATTGCGTTCATTGTCTCATCAGAAATCTTTCTCACGCGGACAACTCGGCAATCAGTCAGAAACTACTGGTATCGACTTTTCGATACTTACGACCTTCCGCTGAAGAAAAGTTCGGCTTTAATGGACTGTCGTCACTATTGATAGAAAATAACAACAACTTTAAAAATCGGGTGACTTGCAATTTATTGTTTTTCCACTGTAAATTATCAGGCTACATTTGTTTCAAACATGAAAAAGCATAGTGACTCATAGTCATTTCATTAATAGTGGGAAAAGTAAAAGAGCCAGGAATAAGGCGAAATAAGTATGAACTTAACAGAACATTTGCCTGAGAATTTCATAAATTATATTGGTATGGATATAGTAATCACTGTTTCTCTTAGTTTGCCTCCACTTCATACTGGGAGGACACACTCTATTTTAAAAACAGAATAGAGATTTTGAATTTGTGGCCATTTAAGGTATGACCGCAGCGGAAGATAGTTACCAAAGAAACCAAGAGATAACAAAGCTCTAGAGCTTTATCCTCTATTGTAAGAAACGAAGCATGCACTCAGCACATGGCAGCTCCTGAATAGGCAGGATTTGTGCACCATTCATACGAACGAACGTCATTGTTTCATTTCAAGTTGCTGTTAAGTAAATTTTTATTTTAGTTCCTTGACCATTATCTAGCTGGCAATGACGAACAATAGCGAGCAAGGCTAAAAGCCTCGTCGTCTAACACAAAACCACTAATATAAAAAAAAGGAATCAGTCACCTTATTTTAAAACTGCCCACATTTCTATCCTACCATAAGTTACGTTTCAAGAAATTAACCGGCGCGAACTTGAGTGAATCGCCGATTACAGAGTACAAAAGAAGGTAAATGTTCTTTCTTCTTTCAATACGTCCCCAGAGTAAATGATGGGGATATTCTCCCTTGTATAAGGTGGTTTCAAGTTTTTGGGTCTAAACAATATTGCGGTGTGACCATTCATATCAAAACCTTTTTGCATGTCGCTACTTTCGAATGGTAAATGTTTCACATTAAATTTGCTTGAAACAATTTCACATCTTTACATTCATAACTTTCAGCTAAAAACCCTGGACTTACAAGCAAGTTAGCAACTGTAAACTAAACAACCAGATGTTTTCTAAACGATACCGCGGAACCACCAACCGTTAACTCCGTTGTTAATATTGAAAAATTGAGAACAACTTTCAGTTGTGTGTTTTCCCGTCTGAGCATTTGTGTGCGAACTTTTTTCACAGATTTATATTACTGATGTGTTTTTATCGGGAAACAATTTGCCTTTTATCTAAGCCCTGTTAGCTTATTCTACTTCACAGATCGCATATTGTACATCAAGATTTACTTGTCCTAACAGACAATGGCGTTTACATCGAGCCGGACAAACAACAACAGCACTCCACTCCCGTACTTAACATGTCTTTTTCCTGGCGTTTCCAAGGAGACTCAACAGAATCTACGATTCGTCAGCAACACAGTCCTCCTCCCACTCAATATGACATTAAACTTCACGTCATTCACCGCGAACTTTCTCCTTCTCATTGCCGTGGCGCGAATAAAAGTTCGCCAGCATCCGTCTCTCATTCTACTTTGTAGTTTATCTTCAAGTGATTTAATCTGGGCAGTGCTTAGTTTCTATGGAAATACCAAAATTATAGTACACATTCATAACTGTCCATCAAGTGGAGCAGAAGAAATTTACGTTTCAATCTGGTACATCTTTGCCACCCTCAGTAACCTAACCTTCATTAGCAAAGATCGTTTTCGGGCAGTGAGAAAGCCTCAATGGTATTATAATCACATGACCAAGTCACGTGCCTTGAAGGAAGCCATTAGTAGCTGGCTGATAAGTCTAACTACAGTAATTACGATATATGTTATAATTGTCTATCTGCCAGAGAAATTCGCATTCATTAAGAATGTTATTGCCGTAATATTCTGCTCTGTTTCTGTATTTATAATAATCTCTAGTCACATTGGAATACATTTCGCGATGAGAACACATCGCCGGAAAAATTTTCCCCAAGTTGGAAGCCGCAGATCAGCTGTTTTACTGAACCGAGAAAAGAGGCTCGCTGTCACCGTAGGATTAATCCTAATAATGCTGATATTATTGATCCTGCCAGCTTTAATTTCCCCTGTTGCTCTGATTTTAATGGGGTTCAAAAGGTTAGCACCCTTTCGGGTATTTATTACCATATTTATAACGTTGAACGGAATGTTAAACCCACTGATCAACTTCAGAAGAAACGAAGCGATTCGACAATCAATACGTAAAATATTTGCATGTACGAGACACTAACTAGCCTTCCTCTCCTTCTTGGTCTTCTGAAGGCGGTTAAAGTGAATGTAAAACATTTTTACCTGATTTGAATCCAATAGGCTATTTTCTACTTGCCCCAAGCTTCTGTTTTAAAGCGAGGCTAAGTGTGAAGAGAGGATATCCTCTATTAGTAAAATCCAACTAGTGGTCTATTATCAATGCTGCGTTCTGATTGGTTGAGCTACTACTAGGCGCTATGTTATAACCCACTAGTAGCGCAAAGCGCTGGTTTTTTGGCGTCAAAAGAAGCTTTAAGTCTAGCTTTAACTAGCTAAAGTTGTTTTGTCTCGATATTTTTTACCAACTAGTTGGACTTCACTAAAACAATTATTCCTCTCGCCCTCATGGCCTCTGAGTCAATAGCCAATTTGGGCTTCGGCCTCATGGGCTATTGACTCAGAGCCCATTCGGGCTCGAGGAATAATTGTTAAATACAACTCAGTTGATAGCACGAGACTGTGCACAAAGACAAGAACAAGATAGTTAATACTCAGAATTTCTAAGTGTGAAGTGAAATCGGATGTTATAAATATATAACAATTATTCATATCACCGAAGCGGAGGTGGGTAGTGGTCAGGAGTGGTGGTGGATATTTACTCCACTGTTTTATTATATACTAAAAACAAAATGTTATAAAGAAGATAAAAAGCATGTACAGGTAAAACTCGGTATTTTGTGGACACTTAGAGAACTGTCTATATTTGAAATCATTAGTAATTATTAATATCCGAGTCAGCGTTCAGTTACTGAGGCCCATGCGGGCAGTTCAAATGTCGATCTTCTCATGTACAGAACCTAATAGCCTGATTTTCAGACGATTACTTCGAGTCGTTTTCTCCTTTCAGCAAGTGAGGGAGTAAAAGCGATTCGAAGTAATCGTTTGAAATTCAGTCTACGAACCTAATCCTTTCAGTTAAGTACATGAAACGATCGACGTTTGAATCAATTAATTTCGACATATCTAATTTGGGTCGACCGAGTGGCCCACATGGGAATTTCGACTGAGCTCGAGCGACTTTGTTTCAAACGTCGAACTTCCCATGTGCCGAACTTAGTGCATAAATTACTAAAATTTAGTTTCACTTGTGAGCATTTTAGACCATTGAACATCGTGAAAATGAATTGAATCCGACTAAATAAGCTCAACGTCTGAATCAACCGTCGAACTATATCATTTTTAAACCTCAGTGGGTATTAATCGGTAGTTATATAAAGATCCACGTTTGAGCTGGGCCTGACATCAGCCTTTATTATGTAGTGAGTTTGTGTTTCCGACTAAGACAGTACAAAGAACAGGATTTGGACAGACATCAGGGAATTATTGTGCCCTAAGTGGATTTTAATTGGAAGGGTATATTTTGTGAAAACAATATATACAAAAAAAACTTAAATGCGAACAGCCGGCAATTGTATTGATAAGATCTGATTAATTTCTCGTTTAACATGGTTAACTTTGATGTGATTTTCACACCAAAAAAAGTACGAAAAAGGAACTAAACGGTAACATGATAACCATATGATCTACATCGCAGAAAGCTGGTCGTAATTTTCAAAACTGACCCGTCGATGTTTTTAATCAAAACAAACACGCCTCGGCAAAGACCGCTCGGCTCCCTAGTCATAACGCTAGAACAAAATCTGAATCTCTCTATATATGGAGAGAGAAAACCGTTTACACTATAACCCATAAAAACGGCCATAAAGCGGCCTTGGATATTACATGATAACACCACAAAACGCGAGTCACCCCGGCGTGAGTTCACCCCGGTTGTTGTACCGGAGCGAGAATTTTACTCCTGTACGAAAGATCGCACCGGTATCACGTAAACAAATCGGTCTTCACTCAGGTCTTCACTGGTGGGCAAGAAAGTGTAGCGCATGCGTAATGTTTGCGACTTTGACTTGCAAGTGTATTTTATCAACATGAAGTGTACCTTCAAATCGCTGAGATACGAAATGACCCATCATCATGTTAACGCGATACGAAATCAAAACATCATCCTGGTATGAAACTCTCGCTGGTGCGAGTTTCCTCACGTAAACACCCCCTACAGTAAGCTGTTTTTTTTATTGAAATCCTTTCATTATTTTCATAGATTGCTGAAACGATAGGTTTTTTCCCCATACAAATCGTTATGTTTCGAATATTACGTAGCCTGTGTACAGACCCCCCCCCCCCCTCCCCTCTCCGATTTTTACTGAGGGGAGGTATGATCTGTACACAGGCTAAATGTAACGCGACAATGCCGATGCTCCTACTTCGAGCTTGAGCTACCTGTAGTTCAACGTCCGGTGTTCGACTCCCGGCCGAGAATTTTTTTTTTCCTTTTTTGGTCGTTCTGTTTGTGTCAGTGTTTCTTTATTTTATTTTACCATATATATTTTTTGGTTTCATATAGCTGCCACGTGTTGCAGCTCCGCGGGGTGTTGCGATAAACGTTACCAAATCATAGTTAATTGAGTGGAATGGTTATGAAACCCGTCAGACTCCTTTGTTATATGTTTTTGGGGACCTGAAAGTGCACAACGTTCAAAAGAATTCCTATCATTTTGATTGTATTGACCAATAAAAACGTTGCATTAATTTATTCCGTAACAATTTGCCAACAGAAAACAAAGGATTGTGCACTTTCAGGGTGCTTCCAACATAAACTGCAGCACTGTTGTTTTTATCACTGATGTTTGCCGCTTTTCATAACCAGTCTCCTCTAATAACTATGACCCAATATAGAAACCATCCTCGGAGACCCAGGGGCAGTTGGTCGGGTCGATAAAAAGTTCGTGGTGAAAGTTTACTGTACGATCGAGACGAGCCCCTGGGCACTTACTCTTACCGAACCAGTTCCAGAAGCGTTTGAATTGCTTGCTTCTGATTGGCCAGAAAAAATTTTTTCTGGCCAATCAGCGAAGAGAAGCTGCCGGGTGACTCTCGTGTTTTCTTACACAACGTAGTTTTCCTTATCGATCGCCATAGTTGCGTAGCGCGTTCAACGAGGGAAGTTTCAGAACAAAATGTTAACAACCCGCAAAAATTACAACCTTTAGCACGGCTACAAGAAACAAACACTCTCCGATGAATTTTTAGGGTGGATCTTTCCAAGGTATCGTAAATTTTTATTGCTGATACGATACGCGATGCATGACTTTCACTCCACACCTTAATTTGCTCACATTGTCTGGTATACAACGCCAAGCTTACATTTTAGATTTCCATGTTCGTTGCACGACTTTTGAAACTTTCTACAGCATGAAAACTTCCGTTGCACGGGCACGCAACTAGGTCGATTGATCGCGGGAAATGCCGGCTAGCTGCAGTGCCTTCTTCGTGATTTCGCTTCAAACTCCTTTCGGAACTTTTAAGCTTAAAAGCTTACAGCAGCTGACCGTACGAATTCTGTCGAAGTTGATGGTAGTGTTAACTTTAGATTCGAGGGAGACCTCCAGCAAGCGCTTGAAGAAGGCTTGTTTTTGTTTCCTGTGGTACAGTTCAAAGCGAAGCAAAGATTTATTATTGAGAAGATTGTGGAAAGAAGAGATGTTTTGGGGCAATTGATAGAAGAGTCTAACCTTCCAAATGTTGCCTATAAGCTAGAGGGTTTAAAAAACCGTTAGATGCTAAAGGTTATGAATTCCCTGGCAATCTATTGGTCATAGTGATTTCACCTCTCATGTCAATTGTTGAGGACCTGGTAAGTTACGCGAGGTCACTAGGAATTCAGGCCGCTTAATAGGGGAAAGCAAAACGAAAGATCGAGAACTATTGAATGGATAGGGAGCGTTTTCTTTGTTGTACGGAAGCCCGGAATCATTAACTGGGGGACAAGAAATTCAGGGCAATGTTCTCTAAGGAGTTCTACCAGAAGAATCCGGTTGCAGGTACATACAGCTGTTCATTAGTAAGTATGCTGATTTGTTTACTAGTAAGGCCAGGGTGCTACACTGAATTCATTGTGGGGAGTTCTGAAGGGGCAAAATGGGATGTTCTGGCTCTAAGAAAATGGGGTTTAAGTCACTGGCATGCAGGGGGATTCTATCACTGAGAACGGGAAAAAATGTAACAAATGGAAATTGAGGGTTAAACAGTTTCAATGGGATTGATATCCCTTCAGGACCCTCAGGACGGTAGATCTGGCTTTTATTCAAGGATGCTCAGTAATCTTATGTCTAAAAGCTGACAGACACTTCACAAGAATTATCATGTTTTTTGTCACCATTTATTGACAATTAAGATAATAGTCCAATTGAACATTTACATATTATAAATGGAAAAACATCCCATAATACAGATGCCATTACATTAATTTTATTTTTATAATTTTTATAATACTGCTTGAGTTATGTAAATACTAGGGAGCTGTAATATTTTATTTTATTTTAATTTGTTCATAAATGTTTACACTGGGGTGTTTGTTGGTGATTCTTTCTGTCCCAAAGGGTTTGTTTTACTAGGTGGCCAAAAAGTATACTATTATTTGAAAACTATCTAGAAAAATGCAGTGTGCATTATATTGGGGTGCACATTATACACAAGTAAATATGGTATACCTACACATAACATACACTTTTCCAACTTTTCCAACACTCTCTGGAAGAAAGGGAACTGTGCTGTAATTGTCACTTACTGTTTTCAATAATTCTAAGAGTCTTTCTTCTTTTAGATATTTTTAAGTGTACGACCTGCAGAAGAGAAAAAATTTCTTCCTTTTTTGATGACAGTAATCAAAACAGCAGAATCACTCCAAGCCACTTACGTTGTGACATCAGTGCCAATGACTGTTAGTCTGCTTAAGGAGAATCAAGATAATCTGAGACAGGAATTTCAAGAATCAAATCTTCACTGCTTGTATTCTAGAATTTGTATTCTCTGATTGTCTTGTATAAAGGAAACAATAATTGATAATTGTGATAAATTATGTTCCATGGAAAGTATTTTAGAGACACTGTGTGGAATGGTGACCATGCAATGAAGATTTTTCCTTTCTGAAGAGGGTGTTTAAAGATTTAAAAATAATTATCAATGAAGAATATTATTGTCAGATGAGGAGAATTATGATAGGGAAGTTATGAAATATCAAAGAAATGAACCAAAGGAGAAACTGTTAATATTGCAGCATTACTCGTTCAAAGTAAGTCCAATCTTGTACCATCAATTACAAGGAAGTTAAAACAATGGCACTGTGGATGTGTTTGAGGGGGTCAGTAAGGGGAAACATCAAGCCAATCATAGATAAATAGTTTGGCAAAAATCACGTATTACGTGAAATTACTTTTATACATGTATTTGTTAAAAGATATCTTATAATAAAAATTCATTTCTACCATATTAGCCATAATTCTAATCACAGTGAAGATTAACCCAGGTTCTCTTATGCGGTTTAGTAAGCCAGAAACCCAGGTCCTTGAAATCAAGGGCTGAAGTTGGATCTTTGGAAAGTGTCCCTATTCCTTGGTCTCTTCTCCCTGGAATTTCCTTAAGAGCGTTCACTTCTTGAAAAGTTTTAGTGACCACAAAAATATCTACAGACATCCCACCCTTCCACGATTTCTCAACTCTATACCTACTCGTGTCACACACTGCGTGTTTATCGCCCTACAAAACTTTCACACCAACCACTGTCAAACATTTTCGCAAACTCACCTTTATTTTTTTTTTCGTCGCTTATCCGTAAAAACAAACCCACACAGCCTGCAAAAATCGACCTCACTTAACAAGTCAGGATTCAGCACATAACCGGACCGAGATTTCGAACTAAACACAACGGCTGTATTTAAATTACGTACGGTAAGGGGAGTTTGGCGCGAAATCAAGAAGGTGCGTGCAGTGCAGCAAGCCAGCAATTCCCACGATCAATCGACGTAGTTGAGTGGCCCGTGCAACGGAGATTTTCACGCTGTAGAAGTTTCAGAGGTCGTGCAACGAACTTGGGCATCTAAAATGTAAGCTTGGCGTTGTATACTAGACAATGTGAGCAAAGTAAGGTGTGGAGTTAAAGTCATGCATTGCGTATCGTATCAGCAATAAAAATTTACGATACCTTGGAAAGATCCGCCCTAAAAATTCATCGGAGAGTGTTTGTTTCTTGTAGCCGTGCTAAAGGTTGTAATTTTTGCGGGTTGTTAACATTTTGTTCTGAAACTTTCCTCGTTGGACGCGCTACGCAACTACGTAGGAAAACTACGTCGTGTAAGAAAACACGAGAGTCACCCGGCAGCTTCTCTTCGCTGATTGGCCAGAAAAAAAATTTTCTGGCCAATCAGAAGCAAGCAATTCAAACGCTTCTGGAACTGGTTCGGTAAGAGTAAGTGCCCAGGGGCTCGTCTCGATCGTACAGTAAACTTTCACCACGAACTTTTTATCGACCCCACCAACTGCCCCTGGGTCTCCGAGGATGTATAGAAACAGGTCTGATCTGTTACTAAAAATTGGGCTGCCTGTGCTATCTCCAAGATGCGCTAAATTACACCATTACGTCACTATTCTCTAAACCTATTGGTTAGTTATTTTTGGAATGGAGCGGCATATAAAACCAGACTGTATCACTGGGAATAAACCGGAGATAAAAACACAGTATAAAAGCATCATTTCAAAGCCATGTTTCGTGACCACAGTGATCAAGTGCAAATCTTAAGCCTCGCAAATGGCTACAGCGTACTTCAGGCATCTTATGAACGCCTTAAAGATCGTTCTTGTTGGAGATGCAGAAGTCGGGAAAACATGGTTGGTTTCTCGAGCAAAGGAGCTCTACGCCACTTTACACGATTACTACAGTTTAATGAAGGAACCTTTTGATTATGATTTGGTTTATTCTCCGACCGTTTTTGAAACATGCTTTAGCAACATAGACACTACACAACTTGGTAATTATCAGACGAATATCTGGGACACTGGCGGCTGTGCTATCCTCGACTGGCAGAGGCCCTTGGCGTACATTCGTGCCGATGTCTTTATGTTGTGCTTTGATGTATCTAATCGTGAATCGTTTTGTAGCGTCACAGAAAGGTGGCTACCCGAACTTCGAAAATATGAACCTGATACGCCGGTTCTTATTGTTGCTACGAAGGCTGATCTTCGAGACCAAACTGCAAGGTAAGTAATTTTTCAAGGAAACAGCCGGATTATCGCCCCCCTCCCCTCCCCCCTTCCTCCCCGCGTTCGCCCCCCTTCTCCGATTTCAATCATGATTAGGATTAAGTACTGACCATAGTGATTCGGGCTAAGCGCTGATAATACTGATTTGGATTAAACTAATTATAAAGAACCATCTAAAGAGCTTTGTCATTTTATAAATATTTCTTCTAGTCTTTTTAAATTGTCTTTTTATTTTGACATTAGACTTCACTGGACATGTCTACAATAATACAGAGCTCTTGCCAGCTCTCAGCTGGGCAAGATTTGTGATAATTCAAAGTTTTCTCAATGCTTGGGGCACCTTAACTGAACATTATATCATTATTTAGGTTTGGTGTCCTAGGAGACCGCATACATCCTGGAAATTTTTCACTCGACACAATATTTTGTTGCTACAAGCTTGACCCCTTATACTGAAACTTTACCTTGTATTGTTTTCAAATAAAGTGTATTGGTCGACTGATTTATCGATTGATCTCAATCATGTGTAGATCACATCATTTTTAAGAACGGTCAAAAAGTGAAACCTCAATGTGACAACCCCTTTTTAATGAAGTCCTTGTTTTAATGAACAATTTTCTTCACCCTAGTGATAGTAAAAAGTATTATGGAAAACATGTTGTTGTATTTTTTGGATTTTGTTTTTAATATTTTTGCACTGTATGGAAGTCCCAACCTGTACTCTGTCTTATTCTACCCCTTTGTACATCTCCCTAGCCTTTTCCTAAACACTGTATCGCATGCAATCATATTATTTCTTTTAGAAAACAAATTTCAAGACTCAAAACAAAATTTAAAATGAAATCGAATATTTCATTCGAATAGTTGAACTTCATTAGTGATGTGAAATGTCAGATGGCATACAGAAAGGCTGTTATGTACACTGTATTTCCAGGAACATATTGTTGATGGCAATGTTAGGTAACCTGACATTTCATGGTAAGGCTGATGAAGTTTGAGCAATCTAAACAAATTATGTGCTCTTGCTTACATGTATAACTTTTGCTCTGAGCCTTGAAATTTGTATACTAAATGTCTTTTCGAGAGCCGATTTAAAAACCTTTTTTGTAATATTATTAATTTTCTTGTCATCTTGTAGCAGTGGTGAGTGTTATGACATTGTATCAGTTAGTGAAGCAGAAACGTTGGCAGAGAAGTTGGGTGTCCTGTACCAAGAGGTCAGTGCACAGACTGGTGATCATGTGGCAGATGCTTTTGAAGCTGCTGTCAAGCTTGGGCATACCAGAAGAAACCAGCAGGGTAAACTGTCACAGAAGATCGGCGATAAAGACAGCTTTGATCCAACTTGGATTCCACCAATGAGTGAGTAGCAAAAAGTTATGTTCTTGGTGTCAGCCTGAGAAAACAGCTGACAATTCGGCTATGGCTAGGAACTACAATTTACCACCGAAAAAAAAATCTTTGAACCACGAAAAAAACATCAGAAAAAATTTAAAAGTGTATTGAAAGGTCATGTTTGTTTATTCATTAAAATATTAAATTTTTTTTAAATAATCTGTATCATCACTCAAATCAAGTGTACAAATATAGAAGACAATCAGGTTTTCTCCACTCAAGACAATTGCAACTTAGATCAAGATCCACCCTCTTTTTGGAAATTGTGTCTTGAAGTAAGTTTTTATTTTAGAAAAGGCCAGCAACACAATTTCATTGTTACTGAATCATCATTATTGCCACCATTGTCACTTCCTTTAACATCGTTAATGTCATTGTCATTGTTATTGCATTAATGACTTCTTTCTTAATTCTTATTCTTACAGAGTCCCCCCCAGAAATCAAGATTGAACCTTCAACCTACTCTAGTGATTTCAAGAAAGTCATGGATGACACTGGAAGTGCTGATGTTTTATTTCAATTTGAAGATGGCAGTGCAAGCCTTTATGCACACAAAATCATTTTGTTGTTAACTCCTTCCATCTTTAAAGATGTTTTACTTGATGCAAATTGCAACAACTTTGAAAATCTCAAAGATCTTCTTGAGCTAATCGAAATCTCCAAGGATTCTAATGAAATAGCTCCTGATAACACTCACTCAAAAATTTCTACTCAAGTTAGAACTTGCATACTCTTGAAAAGTTGGATTTCTCGTGAAACCTTTGTCAGAGTTTTGGAATTTTTCTACACTGGTGAGGCAGGAATTTTAAAAGTCACAGAACTCAACAAAGTTAAAGACATTTTAGCAGCCTCAGAGAAATTAAAAGTCCAGCCGTTAGTGGAAGTGTGCAACTATTTTTTGAAACCTGTCAGTGCCAAAAAGGAAAATTTAGATCACTCAGATAAAGAGCTTGTGCCACTACAACCAACAACACAACGCCCGTGTGTTGTCCATGATCTGTTTCTGGACTTGCAAGCAACAACATTTTCTGATGTCTCATTTCTTGTGGAGGATACAGTGGTTCGTGCTCACAAGGCCATCGTTATGGCAAGATCACCCTATATCGCTGCCCTTCTCAGTGGAAACTTCAAGGACACAGAGAGTGCCCAGGTATATGACGTAGTTTGTGACGTTATTTATTAGGTCCACAAACCATACTTTAAGTTTTTGTTTCGTGCAGTAACAAAGATAAAAAATCAAAAGTGTTTCATATGAAAACAGTCTTTGTTACTTTTAAACGTTTCTCTTCGTTCCAGGATATTTTGTTTTGAAGAAAAAGTTGATATTTTTAATCAAATAAGTCACTTATCTACCCTGGTCCCAGAGGTTTTTCTTGTAATTATTCTTCTTTACGAATGAGAGAGCCAGCTGTGAAGTGGTGACAACGAGTCACAAAGTGGCGAGGAGAGAGAGAAAAAGCTCCGGTTACCTTGCCCTCGAATCTCACTTTCATGCAGACAACAGGGTCATGATCTGACTCGCGGCCAGTGAATGGTTGATATTTTTACAAACATACAAATCAATTTGATTGGTTTGTTTGATTGTAACTACCAAAGGGACGTTGAGGATATTTCTCACCTCATTTATTATGGTAAATTTTGCCTCTCTGCACTAGGGAAAAAAATTGTTTGTAAAATAAATGAAACTGCAAGAGGTGACTCTCCTCACTGTTTCACGACTCTGTTGCGGCTTTGCGGCTAGCTCTCTCTTTTGTGAAGAAAAATTCCAAGAAAAACGTTTGGGACCAGGGTTTCACTCATTACAGTTCAGAAGAAATAGTTATTAAGAAATGTTCATAGTAAGTTTGGAAATTTTTTTCTGCCAAACTTAATGCTAATGAAGAAATTCCTTCGTTTTCGCTCATTTGCACTGGACTCGGCACATGTGAATTGTGGCATTTTGAGCCAAACCTGGGAGGGTTTTAAATTTTGCAAACTTTTCTGCAGAAGTCCCCCCTGACATTTGGATAGTCATCCACAAGTTATGATCTCCTTGCTAAGACCCTTGTCACAACATGTACCTTCTAACCTCGGACATAATTATTTGTTTGATTATTCCAGGTGCATCTGCAAGAAATCGACTGCCAAAGTTTTTTGGCTGTCCTTGAATACCTATACACTGACAGTTGCCCTTCATTGGAAAAGGTTCCTGCGGAGGAAGTACTTATTGTTGCAGATAAGCTGTGTCTGTCTCGCCTGGTGCAGATATGTGAAGTTCACATACGGAAAGAATTACAGAAGGTCATAACTCAGAAATGCTCCAGTGTAGCCAATGAATTCATGGATACTCTAGCTTTCTCGAAGGTATACAATTAATTCAAATAGTGAGAAGTAGGCAGCCCGGGGTCAATTTAATAAAACTTTACAAGTGGCTATGTAATTTACTAGTGTAGCTATCATTTTACGGTCTGAAAACATTTGCTACATTTGTAAATTACACTTGTAAAAGTTTTATAAAATTGACCCCAGATTAGAATTTGGCACACGCCCTGCCCTGCCGTCCGCTCCCCCCCCCCCCCCCCCCCCCCCCCCCCCCCCTTTTTTATGTCTGTAAACATTTGGTACAATTTTAAAATAAAATTTTAAAAAGTTTAAAAAAATGGACCCCGATTTAAAGTTTGCACCCGCCCCGCCCTGGCGGCCCGTCCCCCCCCCCCCCCATGCAACTCTTTTGTCTAGTACAACTTATCAACTTATTCATTATTATCTTACTCTCTCCTCCCAGGTATTCAATGCTAAGCAACTGACCAAGTGCTGCCTCCATTTTATAGCCTTTAACTTCAAGTATTTTCAGGGGATTGGAAAGGAGCTTCACTCTGTCGTCAAAGAAAACAAAGAATTCTTTGAAGAACACCGCTGGCCACCTCAAGAGTATATGCAGGCGCTGGAAAAGTACAAACATAGCACTTTGAGAAAAAGACTTCATGTACGGCGCAAATCAGTTTCGTGCATGTCCCGCAGGTGTAGTGTGATGTAAAGAAACCACAAGAAATTCAAAATCAAAACACAAATAATTCTTTCTTGCCACTGGTGTCATAAAATGTAATTGGTCAGGAGATTTGCTGGGCCTCAGTATAACTCTGTCACCTGTTTGTAATCGCATGAATTTTTTTAAAACTATATATTTTTTTCAATTAAATGGTTTGCTGTTTGAGATATTTTGGACATCGTCAATTGTGCTTCGCTAATATTTCCCGATTCTGGTTATACATTCGAGCCTCGCCTTTAAGCCGCAACAGTTTGTCACTGTTATCAAATACCAGTTCATGCCTGTTACTGGAAGAAGTGTAAAGAAATGAATAAGCCCTTTTTTTTCTTACGGCAAATGCAAGAACAACTGCGTACGTCCACCTCAAGTTAGCTTTAGTTATTGCAGAAATGCCAGCTTCTGGAGATCTATAATCTCAGGGGCGGATCCAGGATTTTTTTTAGGAGGGGGTGCACTCGTCTCTTGCTCTACTTCAACACTAATAAACCATATAGTTTTTTTTTGGCAGAATACCAGTTGTATTAGCAAACCGCAGGTCATCTCAGGGGGGGGGGGGGTGCGCACCCCCTGCACCCTCCCCCTAGATCCGCCCCTGAATCTGAAGACTGAACTTTTTGCAATCCGCTCTCGTTCGCGCCTATACTTGGAACCAGTCTTCTGTATGCGCTGGTGAAAAGAGACCTAAGATAATTCGCGCCAGTTTTCTTAACCACTATACTTAGGTGCGTTCAAACTAGATTTACTTCGCTTCCTTATTGGATAAGCCTTTCCACAGATGTTTTTCTTTTTTCCCACAATTCGACATCGCGAGAACAAGAGCGCAGCGTTATAACCCCGCGGTTTTTATTTTCATACGTGCGGTCGACGATCTCTAAAGAGAAAATAGAGGATCAGTGAACAGGCTATTATCTCAGATTGTTGTCTTTAATTCTAATGCATATGTGTGGTCACAGATGATCTTTAAATTGTTTTTTCGACACAGCTGCCTTCCCGTCTCCATTTTCGTTTCAATTCATTAATAACATAGATAAGTTAATTGCGTTCGACTTTAGGTGGAAAATGTTCATTATAATGATAGTAGTCCATTATCCTAAATTTTTCGTCGTTCGTGTACCTTTTCTTAATAAGTTGGTCACTCGCCTTTTTAATGCAAGATCATCACTTAACATTTAATCTAAAAAAATTTCAAATTAGTAATAGACAGCTGTTTTATCCAATTTGGCAGAAGAGTCATATTTTGTATAATGTTTGCAAGTAAAGTTATAAACGTATAATAATAGTACACCGATGTGAGAAAAAGGGAAGCACGCAGTATGTTTGGTTCATAGCAAAATATAATTTATTGGCAAACAGTATAAATATTGTTTCTGAATAAATATAAGCCATTTAACATTAATGTGAAATTCAACATCATAAATTAGTTTTTACTCCCACATACAACACGAGTGCTTACAAGCGCGATAAAATTTGAGCGAAATTCTTCTTTTAGCACTAGAAAATCAGAGAACCAGCAGTACCATAGGTAAGAGTCCCCTTAAATGCCTCTGAATAGCTGCCCTAGTACAACGTTGTTCGATTCTTACTTAAGAACATGTTAAGCAGTTATAGCTTCAAGCACTTGCGAACCATTTAATGGATTCTTGCGCATGACCTTCGGTGCACGGTTTTTTCTCGTCATACAGTCAAAATTAGCACGGTGTCTGTCACGGGATGAAGGGCTTGAAAACGCTCTACCGCATTTCTCACAGGTGTAAGGCTTGGCTCCAGTGTGCATATTGATATGAAACTTCAGTTCGTATGACTGCGCAAAAGCCTTTCCGCAGTACTCGCACACGCAAGGCTTCTCTTTCGTATGCGTGCGTCGCACGTGACTATCATGTGCGGCGTGCGAGGCGAACGCACGCTCACAATGCTTGCACTTGAATGGCTTCTCCCCGCTATGTTGACGAATGTGGGTACGCAGAATGGAAGACGCCGTGAAGGCTTTAACGCAGTGAGGACATTTATACGGTCTTTCGCCACTATGTACTCTCATATGCTTGTTAAGACTGGAAGACTGAGAAAAACGCTTCCCGCAAACCGTGCATTCATGAGGACGGTGCTTCTCGTGGACATGAAGCACGTGGATGCGTAGACGATCCCGCTTGTCAAAGGAGCGGTTACATATGCTGCATGGAAACTTCCTGTCTCCTGTATCAATGCAGCGCGTGTATTTCAGGTGACGGTCTCGGTAGTATTTATAGGCAAACACCTTACCACACCGTTCACATTTATACTCTCCTGACGACCCTGGAAAGGCGGAACAAAAAAACAAGTTTGGAACATTAGTTGAACAATAATCCTGTCTGACCTCCCAAGACGGTAAACAATACAACCTCGGACAAAACCGCAAAAGTACCAATTCTTTTTCCTGTCATTCCTGGCAAAAATGGAACCCGTCGTTAAGTGAATGCTTGTTTTTCCCCCTTCCCTTATTTATCCAATGCTGTTAAGGATAACACGAGAATTTTTAACACGAAGGTTTGTAGACCCGCCCAAACAACTTTGAATAGGGGGTGGGAAGGCATTTTAGTTTTCGTGTCTAAAGGGATGGCAGTATGGTGCCAAAGTTATAAAATAGATTGAAACTGTCTCAACAGTTTTGTCCGAGGTTGCAGCAAGTTCAAAAACCTCACAAATGAGCGCTGTTAATGATCTCGTGTACGGATATTTTCGGACGAAAGCGATATGTCCAGAGTGGATAATTTTATAGAATTGTGGCTCGAATTTATCCTTCGTTTAATTTTTATTTTTTTCGTCTTTTTAATCATTCCTTTAAAATGTATATTAAAAAATTAAAAAAAATAAACACACACCATAGGTCAGTTTACCTGTGAACTCCGGATCAGGTGTCACTTCTTCTTTGATATCATCAACATTTAAACCAACCGGAATTCCCATGGATAAAGAGTAAGAGTTTCCATACCACACCAACAACTCCTCGCCTCTGAAAATATCCCTACAACACTCGAAATACAGCTGATCGCCATCTTGAACTAGCGCAACATTCTGTTCGTTAATGTGTCTTGCGCAGTTAACGAATTTCATCCAGTTGTCTGGTTCGGTTTGAGCATCAATGTAGTGACTGAGACCATCTTCCTTGAACACCTTTAAAGCACAAAGGGACGAAATCATGAGAAGAATTTTGAAGATTGTCATCGTTTATATTGTGAATTTTCGAGTATTTGTTATGGTCCAGGACCTGGTTCCTGAAAGGCCGATTAGCGCTATTCCAGGATTAAAATTGTGTTCCACTTTTTGTATTTACCTTCCAATGTATTGCCTAGAGAAACATTTTGTGTTATCATTATTGTATCTATAAAGAGTTAAGGCTCAAGTATATTTTCTAACCATGAGTTACATGCATGTTCTTAGACAAGAAAACCTTGCTTAAAATTTGGCTTAATCTTGGGTTAAGCTTAACCATCTTTCGAGGAACCGGACCCGGCAATTTCCATTGATTTAATTCCATTCTTTTTCATCAAAATTCAAACATTCGTTTTCTAAAATCCTACATAAGGGACTCAGTTTGAAAATTAGCCGATATCCTTTGTGAACTACTAGAGGAGAACAAGTGACGCAAAAGTTGAGCTCCAATTTGCGGACAATGAAAGGCACCATATGAAAGTGCTGCTTAGTAACCTTGTACACCACTGATAGCCACGATTTTCATATGATTGTAATCCTTAAAATTAAGAACTACATTTTAAATGATTCTCGAAGTAAAAGTCCTGTTCAGTTGCTCTTCTTGAAAGTTTATTATTAGTGGTTAAATAAAAGACTAATCTTTCTACTTTCTGTATGATCTTACATGAATAGACAATTAAAAGAAGGTGTACTTGCGATCCTGCATAATAACAATCAAAAAACAGTTCACTTAATCTTTTAGTCAATGACTTTGGCCGAGTTTCCAAACCAGTTTGGCGTGCGTTTTGCGCCCAAACGTGTAGACTGCAAGACTCCTTCTTAGAGACGGGCGGGCGAGTGAAACACTCGAGTGTGTGGCACTCAAAAACACGATGCATGGAAATGACCCTCTCCTCGCGAGAGGCAATGGACTTTGGCGCGCGGTATATAAACTCCGTAGCAGGCGCCAGTTTTGTTAGAGAGGGGGGAAATTTCGTGGACACACGCGCGAGCCTTTTCTCTTCGCGTGTTTTCCCCTCACTCGCTATATGAAACCTGACCAAAATTAAAAAACTAACCAGCGCCCGCCACGCAGGTTACGCGGTCTAGTGAGAGAACTAGCTTTCGAAATTAAAGTGATTTACCTCCCACATAAAGGCCGTGTCTTCTCTGTTCCTTACTTCTGATGGTTGCACTACCAAGCCGTTGTAAGGACCGTACCGCGTTCCCTTGGCGATGGATGATTGACTGCAAAGTACAGCGTAATGGGTTCCTGAGTGGAGTGTTGCACCGATGAGTTGCAGCTCGTTTGGCACTTTGGACGGCATCTCTAACTTGAAGGGTACAGCAGGCCCGCAGACAAACCGCACACTTGGAAAGCAGTCCGTTGAAGTTCCATCTGGTATAAAAGATTGTGTACATGTTAGTCTGTTAAGAAAATTAGGCCTGAAATATGAGCTAGGTGTTCGCTCGTACGAGTCTTGTTATTTTTTTAAAAAGACAGACTGTTAAACACAGAAAGAAATTTAATAATAACTGCCATTCTGTAACGAAATTTTAGCCATTTTTAAATGCCAATGACTCCCAGTTGTAGATATGGGGTCGAAACACTGGTTGCAAATGTTGTAATGTTAATTACTTCTTATCTACGTACGAAACTGTGAAATGTATGAACCCAGGAGTCATTTCAAAAGTAGGTTGAGTTTGATCGTCCGAGTGAACGTAGTCCTGAATGGGACTGCTGTTGTTGACAGTGACTGACATTTCGACAACCTGTACGGTAGTCATGTTCAGAGTCAAAGTGAGTTGTATCATGTCAGTTGATGGTATTATACTCTGGTTATTAACCTGATTGGTCAATTACGTCGCGATGTTATTGGTCGTCTGTCAGTTAAGCCGTGATGTTATTGGCTATGAAGATTCGTCATGTCAGTTGGTGCTTAGCTTGAAACTCTCCCAAACCGTACTATGACCGATCGCGTTTACGTTCGTTTCAAGGTTTCTGATCTGTCTAACCTGACTTGAAAAGACCTTATCACGGTTTTCGACGCCATCTTGGCGAGTAGGCAAACGTGTGAGAAATTACGTAGAATAATTTCCGTAAAACGGCTGTTTTGAACAAAATATCAATTGTAAACTAAAGCGACAAAGCAAAGGATTGTCTTAAAAGTATTTGGGGGCGTACCTGTGCTTAAATTTCTCCACAGGCTTGCTTTAGATTTTCCATATATTTGTCTGTAATCTTCCCGGGACTTTCTTACAGACAAATGTATAGAAAATTTTAAAAAGTGGTTCTAGGTCTTCTAGTGCATGTAACGCTCTCAAATTTTTTCAGGAGAATCCTTAGGAGTGAGACTTTAGTTTACAAATCATAATTTATTCAGAACAGCCGTTCTACGGAAATTATTCAACATTAGATTCTCATACAATCACTGTAATTTCTCATGCGTTTGCCTACTCGTCAAGATGGCGTCGAAAACCGCGACAAGGTCTATAGTCTATAGCTCGTGGGGTCTACTCTTGTCGAAAGTAAGCATAACACTCAACACTCCCAAAATTTCGCAATCAATTGTGAGACAGAGATGCTCCCCCAACAACTGACAATCCACAAAACCTATACACTTGAGAGTACGTATTGAAATCATTTTGCCAGTTTGCTAGTAGGTTTATAAAAAGTACATAACACAGAAAAGTAATTCGGCCTGACTTTAATTAAGGTTTTTTGAATTTTTGAGACGAAAATGCGAAGTATTCTTCTACGTTGATATGTAGCGTCGGCAATAACATTGCCCAGTAAAAAAACTGCGATGGTGCATTGAGTTTATATTCATTCGAAGACTTTTTTTCAGGTTATTATTCAAATTTGTTTTATTTTTATCATTATTCTAATGACTTTTTCCTATAAGTTTCATTTGGCTTGCATGTTGAGATCATATTAATGGATCAAAATATACACGCACACGCGTCGGGAATACTGATGGTCTTCTTTTCATTCTAAAGATTAAAAGCGCGTCTACACTGCTGAGTGGCTCGTTTCTGATACTGGAACAGAAAAAGACTCAAGATGGGTTCTATCTAACACAAAGTATATTTTCTCGTAAAGTTAGTTTATGAGCTTCATGCCAGCTTGCATGGAATTCGTGACCTGAGTTCAAAGCCATGTTAAAATTGAATTACCTGCCATTATGCTAAATCGAATAATTATGAAAAAAAATGGAACTTTGTCGGAGCACTGAAAGACTATGGCGAAACTCACGTGCCCTTTTTCCCGGACTGCACGAAGTGGATCGTCTTCACCGCGCGATGTCTCTTGCCACTCGCGCGCTAAAAAAACGCAGCTTGGTCACTAGAAAAATCCGCCAGTCAGTTTAAAAAAAATCTTGACTTGACTAAAAACACGTCTTATAAAGCTTATTTTATAAAAGACTAATATTTACAACAGTTGTAAAGCCAGATTAAACGGTTATATTGACACAATGATACCAGAAGATAGCCAAGTTAACTGAGGAGCCAATTTCCCAGCCGATGACTTAATTAATTTTTTCTAGTTTATATCGGCCAAAAAACGCTAGCCAATATTAAAAACCTGATCCTTTTTTTTAGGTTTTGTTGTTGTTGCTGTTGTTGTTGTTTTTTGTTTTTTTTTTCATTTTAAAGGGAAAGACACAAAAGAAATATAACCAAATAAAAGTAAAGTTTTGAAATGACTATACTGAGACAAAAATGAAAACATGAAACCTTCCATGAAACATTTGTAGAACTTTACTATGACTGCTATGATCAATGGTTTGGGAATATGTGGCCGGTTTTCCTGTATATTATAAGAAAAATTAATTGGGGAAGTTTGTGCACCAAGAAAAAGAAAATGCAATTTACTTATTAGAAAACGCTAAAGCTTTTAACGTTGTTCTCAGGTGATTAGTAAGTACATAACGTTATTGATCAGGTTACAAAATTCACGTTTGCTCAGTTTTCGCAGGTCATTTGTCAATGGTTTTAAAAAAGGCTGTTGATGTTGAGTTTTCCGGTTTTTCAAAAATGCGCGATGAAATTAAAATCGAGATTCCATTTTACTTTCAATAGAAGCATAAGCTTTCACAAATGAGCTAATTATAACAATGAAATGCAAGTTTCCGGAACCTTCAGTTTCAATACGTATAATAAAAAAATGGAATGCGCAAAGCCACTCCTGTAACTCCCACAAGTCACGTCCTTGATCGCGCAGTTTTCTTATAATTAAGTTTTTCCTGAATGGTCTTATCCTCAAAAATAACACAGTTAAAAAATATTTTCAATTTATTTTCCTACTGATGGGGGCGTTTTCGCTGGTTAAAGAACCAAACAGTACTTAACAAAAGCTGGGAAAAACACAGTTCATTACACCCTCAGTGCACAGGTTATTTTTCAATCAAAGTCAAAGAGAGTGAATGGTCTTTGCGCTGCAAATGTACAGCAATATATTTAAACGCTTTCAATCTTTCTTGAAAGCTTTCGCTTCTTGCTATTCAATTTACAGCAATTGTATTAACTTATCCAATTTCAGCTCCCAAGCAACAAGGCTTTTACAACAGAATGTTTCCTTTTAAGAGGGCATAAGAGTTAATGACAGTTTCCCGGGGGAGAACAAGTACGCTAAAAATTTCCATAGAAGGTCCCGCGTTTACAATCGGTTCGTTATGCTTCCTTGCGCCTTTATGTTTTTCTATGTAAGTCACTGATTAACTATTGTGTGTCGCTAAGCAAAGCGTAAGTCGTGGCAATAATTACAACATAAAAAACAAAAGAAAATCAACACAATTAACGACAAAGCATACAACATGTAACCTAACTATAGGCAAAGCTTTCCTACAATGGACTTTTTTAGAATTGCAATAATCCCTCAAAAACAGCACGTACTAGGTAAACAAAATCAAACTTGAAAGAGACAGATAGGTTATCTAAACAAATATTACCTTGTAGATCCTGGTCAACTCCGACATACTCATCCTTTGAAGTAAAATATCCAAAAAGCAAGAAGTTTAAGTCTTGTTGGGTAAATTCCCAAGTGGTTTTGGTTACGTTGTTTTTTCTAACTTCACTCCGCTGTTGTCCCGATTCAAAAACTTTCAGCATTTTGACTTGGACTCTTTCCTAAGAAAAGAAAACCTGTAAATAAATAGGTACTTATGTTATGTAAATATTTCAATTCGTGTTACCAAGCGCTCTGAGCTTGTCGTATAACACTTTCGCCTTTGTCATTGACTCCGGGCCTGAATCAAAGCGCGTAATTTGCATCCTCACTGAGTTTATCATATTAACTTTCGATAAACAAGAAAAATTAGAGACCTTCGGGATTCAAACGACTGTAAGGACAGAAATTTACAAAAACTCTGCAAAGTATAGTAAGTGTAATGATAGGCTGCTAGCTAACGGGAGCTCAACTTTTTTGCTGAATGTTGACACCGCAGTTCCTCGAGTGTTTATAATAGCTCGTATTCGTTGTCACACTGTTATTTTACAAACTAAACGCAAGAAAAAGCTTCATTTGAGCTTTAAAATGACCTAGCAAAATATTATCGAAAGATGTTGTTCAATTCAAGTCTAGTCCGAACAAGAACTGTTTGTCCAGCTTTAATGTCGTGAACAATACGTGCCAGCATGGCACACTCTAATTCTAACGTGAGCATTTTGTCCAGTTTGTAAACAGGATTACGGAGTTCACTTCCACTCTAGCGGAATACAACTTGAAAACAAGAACTAGCTGAAACGCAAGTTACCATGGAAAGTTCGCTTTAGTTTGATAGAGTTCTTACCTGTGAAAGGTTCCTAGCTGCGTTGTAAGTTTGGTATCGTGTTCTATCTCACGACGAGTCTCTAACTTTGATATGCGCACTCACGCGCCCGCTCCCCTGCACCTGCCTGACCGCCGGCCACGCGCGCCAAATTTATACCCTCTCTGCGCATGTGCAATAATGGACAGAAAGCATTCTTTATTAATGACCAATGCGCGCACTTTTAATCATGACGACAATATATGTTTTGTATATTAAACCAGGGGAACAGAATTTTTCAAAGGAAAATTTCAAGTTATAAAGAGTCATTCTGAAATTACTTTTCGTTAAGCGCAATTTTTTAGGAACTCCAAACATCTGTGGAGACGTTGCTTTCCCCGACCGAGTTTTTAAAGGCACTTCAAGAGAATGCTGTCTTATGACTTTAGAATTACACACGTAAATGTAACAACTGAATATAATCAAAGCTGGGATAGCTACGTGTACCACATTCAATAGGTAAAAAACCTTCTGTCACTTCACCGAATAAAACCATACATCATCTTTTTTTAAAAAAAAAAGTGGACTTTGTATTTGCTTCCCCTGTATCTGTGCTCACTCTGTCATTACACTCAACAGCTGAACTCGGGAGAAGAACCTAATATCTTGTCTTACGGTAACAAGAAGTCTAGACGGCTTTTTTATTGAGGGAGACCTTGAAACTCTCTGTAGGATCCCAGTACCATATATTTTTATATAAAACATCGTGTTCCACGTAGGATGAACTATTGATGAATTACGCGCGCCGGGCGCGGAATTTAATTAACATCAAGTTTCTTTTACTGAAGTCCCTAAACGGATTTTGAAACTAAAAAATGCATACTAGTGAATTCATCCGGTTATTTAGGATTCACGATTCGTGTGTTTCTTTGAGTACGGTTCCGAAGCAAGTACATATGGCCATTATAAGCGATACCCGTTTGTCTTCCTTCGATCCTCTCGCAGTTCGTGCAGGGGGTCCTCCAATATTAATTGTTGGCACGCTTAACAATCCATTTTCGGGTTTTTCGTGTCTTACGTTGTAGCAAAATTTAGAGAAGCTGACATCAATGATCTGATCTTGGATTCTCCCAAGGAAACGGTCCTCGTCTGTAAGGTCAAGTGCTAGTTGTAATCGACATTTATATACATCAAGAAAATTTAACGTAAATTTAAAACAAAAAAATAAATTAGAAGTTTCAAGTTATCTTTCCAAAGCATTTTGTTAGTCTTAATTTGCTTTGCTGTTTCGTTTCACTCCCCGAATTTGCCTGGCGTGCCTGGAGTCAGTTTGCCAACCAAATAGCAAAAAATAGGAATAAGACAGGTCTATAATTGCTAGTGAGCCGAACTTACCGTCGAATACTCAGAAGGGGTCCAGCTAATTAAATGGTATGATTATTAAATGTCATTTCTAACAAAGGAATAAGAAAACTGTCTCCCGTAAACTGGCTAAAAGGCTGGATAACATATCCTATCAAACGTAATAGTGAATAGGGGCTGTAAAATACTTTAAAATGTTAAAAGACAAATTTTAAAAATCAGGATTTTCAAGGGTGCCAACTACAGGCTGTATCTCTTTTTTTGTTTAAAGTTAAATGAAACTCTAACTTTTTTCTATCAGAAATATTTTTTGGGAAACTTGAATATATCAGATTTGAACGGCTTTTTTATCCCTAGTTGCCCTGCATGAATACAATGTTTCTTGATATTTTTTTAAGAAAGTTGAAGTCTTCGTTGTCGACTGTCAGCTAATTTATGCTGCTAAACGGAACTTAACATCTCACGATAACCGAAGGCCCTTTTCTTACTGCGGCTTCCCCCTGAAATTTAATAGTACAAGCCAAATTCTACTTGAACCTTGCCAGCGATAATGCTTTGTTTCCTTTACTTCGCTGACAATGTTCTATGCCCTTTTATGATACTCTTTCAGTGATCGGGTGTTATTAAAAGCACTTCGTGCTGGGAGAGCGCATTCCACAAGAGGTCTATGTGGTTGCTAAACTCCCAGACATTAAGAGCCAATGAATATAACAATACTAATCCCTTAGAGAAATTACTATTTTGTAACAAGAATAACACCAGATCACAGCATTTGTTCCTTTGTTGCGAATTTAAAAGTTTTTTTTTTCCAGAGAATATGAAAAGGGGAAGTGCAATATGATTGCATAAACTATTGTAATCTGTAGTGAAGCTGAAAACAACGACTCCAAAAGCAAAACCATTCTACTAATTACCGTATCATATTTAGTGACGCTAAATTACAATTTAAAATAATATTCAAAGAAAAACCGGTACCTTTCGCCGAATAAACTGCTTGTATAATGTCTCTCCAGTAGTTGAAATTATGAGGCGCTCTCTTTAATTCCTGGCTATTTCACGAGGGGCTGAATAATGCGAGGTTTGCCTGAACTTGTTCCAACTATAGCTAGCGTGTCCGTCAGAATTGAATTATCATTCAAAGATTATTGTTTCCATTTTTCTATTTGCCAGCTCCTTCGGAATCATTCATCTGCGGTCTGGAAATGTTACAAGCTATGACCAACTTGTTAGCTGTCACTGGTTCCAAAATCCGCCCAAATCGTTTTTGTTTAAAGACGTAGGTTGTGACAGAGAACTAGTACACACTCCAAGCAAATAAAGCTTACTAATTCTTATAACAGAAAACATATCTTAGCAACTCATAATATACTGGCTAGTATTTACCAAGCAGAAGGTCTTTATATATGGGTTCATAATTTTCTGCTGATGCGACATTAGTTGTAAAGCGATCGAATGAATTTAACTTCAATCTGCTTGTGGCATACAAAATGTTAAAATAACGTAGAGAGCAACGTGCACTTTTTATTTTAGAAGGAACAAGTTGGGTCGCCCTTTTGCTTAACCAATCTTTTTCGCTTTATAAAGTCCATATAAGCATCATCTCTTGTAGTATTTACTTAGGTTTTCGTTTGTGAAATTAATGTCTCTACTTCCCACCACGTCAATAAAATGCAAAATGTACCACTTCCCATGTCGACAAAACGCACTACTTCAATTACTTTTCACGCGCGTTCTTTTGGCGCGATTCTGGATCTTTAATTGACGCGCGTGACTAGAGGTTAAAAAACCTCCATTAAAAATCAACATTGGGAAGGTTTCTGTTTTGTGTTGCTTTAGTTTTATTTATTGCCGAGTCAGATAAAATACAACTGAAGACCGGGCGTCCACGAATTGACGGTTTAGCTATATATAGTCTGTGGGTTGATGACTGTGTGCCGGGTCAGTAGTGACACCTTTTGAGTGAACAAACCTGATCAGCGGTTTCGTGCTCAGAGGATTTTTCACCCATTTAGAACGGCGGCTAAAGAAACACGCATCAAAGGCGGCAAATTTAGGCTCGATTCAACAATAGCGTTTCTTCAAGAACATCGAACGGCGAATTTTTTTTTTTTTTTTTTAATGGGTATAAGAAGGCATGTTCAGTATCTTAGAACTTTTAAATATTCAAAATGGCAGATGGCATGTTTTCTTTGTGACACTTTGTATTTCAGTCATTTTCTATCTGCCGCACGCGATTTGGCGTGTACCGGTGGGCGAACTTCCAAGAAGTTGATGAAGTGCACGCGCTATATTGCAATTTATTTTCGCTGGCATTCGTGGTGATGAAGATTATTTATGACAATGACACAATTGTTTGAAAAGCTACAGCAGCAAAATCTTGTTCTATTTATCATGCTGGCGTCCCGCAAATCTAACTTTTTTCGGACTTACTGATCAGTATTCAATGAAATGGAGGCCATGTTGGTGTACTAAGCCAATCCTGGGGCTGTGGGAGTCGAACTCCTCCTATGTCAACGCTTCCTTTTGTTCCAGTACATTTGCATAGATGCCGGCTACGTGCGCTCCACCCTTGATCAAAGTCCTCAGCAAAACTATCATTCAAAGTCGAGTAGGAGTCTGGGTGGAGTAATTGAGCGATGATCAGAAAGTTTAGCACCTTTGATGATGTTACTGCAACGCCCCAGTTGACCATGTTACTGCGTAACACGTAGCCTGTTCACAGACCCTATACTTTCTCTTAAGGAACCTTTGAGTTCGCATACAGAATGAAAAACCGCGGGGGATTTATTGACCGCGAGAGCATGCGGTAGTGGGCGAGGGTGGGGACAGAAGAGAATGTTCTTTCTTATTCTTTCTCGCCCTCCGCGCTCGCCGATTGTCGAAAACGAAAAAAAAAAGGTCTGTGTACAGACTAACTAACATGGTGCATAATTCACACAAAAATTATAGTCTCCGGTCCCGGTTCACACAAGTGCCCCGTTAAATTGTTGCCTAAGATTTGTGATGATTCATTCATTTTGTTTACTTTAAGACCATCAAAAATTGGGAAAACATTTAGAGAGTTTCCTTGATTGCAAAAATTACATTCCTTTTTCCAGTTTAAGGGCTAAAAAGAAAGAAAGAAAGACAGCCTGATCGAAGGCTATTTCCAGATGTTCTTTCTGGTTTCCAAATTTTGAGAAGCCTGGTTCGTGCTATACGTAGTAGCCCCAATCCGCCATTTTGCCCTTTGAATAAATATTACCTACCTAAACAGGCAGAAATGGAACAGTTGTTTGATGAGTTATTTGTTTTAATCTGTCTAATATCTACAAAAAAGTTGAGCCTTGTACAGAACGAAAATATTCATTTCTAAGACAGCATTTCAAGCGCACTACACTCTACTCTTGCGTGCAATTGTTAGTGAAAAATAGTCCTATACTTTGGGACGCCATTTCAGTCCGCGTGCGTTTGTACAGTATGGAAAAATGACCACGTTGGACATCCTTTACATTGCTGTCAAGAGCGCAAGATTCGCTTATTGCGAGATACTTGAGAGGCAAACGGTACAGTCTAGAAAGCATCTGCATCATCTGGTGCATCCAGGTCTTTGTACTGAATAATCGTTCTTGGGTCACGATGAAAACCTCTGCGAGAAAAAAAAATGGTTGTGTTACTGCCTCCCAAAACGTTGTTTTACAGAGTGTATAATCTTTTTGTCCCACGAAATATTATTTGGTGGCTTTTGGCCACAAAATATTGAATTTGCCAAGCAAACTCTTATTATTTTGGCAGTTATCTGGCACTTTTATGTTCCTCACACTTGGCAAAGTTTTTCCTTCTGGTATTTTCGACCACTCATTCCACTCCAAGAAGTGGCCAAAATCGATCAAAGACAAATATTCCAAATTTCATTTTTGTAAAAAGCTAAAAACTAAATAATGCCTTGTGAAAGTGTTATCAGAGGGGTTTCACTTGAATTAGGTCACACCGCAGACTCACTCGTTAGAGCCACATTACAGGACTCCGACTTTAACTTTGAGAACGAAAGCGAGTTAACCCTTGAAGCCCCAATAGTGACCCACATCCAATTTCTCCCAACAACAACACTACCTGATCAAACAGACAGGTCATGAGAATTACTGAAATGATCATTAAAGATGGAATGTTGTGATGTTAGAACAAATTCTCTCTAGCAGTACCATAGGAATGTATGAAAAGCAGTGTGGAGAAGAGGCATGTTGATGTTGGGGATTAAAGGGTTAAACAGATAATTAAAGGGGCTATGTCAGTCACGCTATTTGCTATCTTTTTAAAAACCTAAAACGTGTCTTGTCATCAATCGAGTTCCAAAAATAATGGTCCAGTTTCGTTATTTAAGACTATATTTAGGCATTGAAAGTGTTTGCTGCCGTCCACGGCTACGGATGGCAAGGATCAACATGGATTGAAACTTGAAAACGTTACTGCTCCTTGATGAATGCCCATTATTTGAGTGTCAATGTATTTAGCATGAAAATTACTAATTGGGGACACTATTTTTACGTCTCCTACTGGAGACGGGGCCGCCATTTTACGTGGTCATCAGAGCCACGCGAAGGTCTAACCTGTTGCCGTGCAAAGGGAGTACCTTCATTTCTCAATTATTTTAAGACCCAGAGTATTAGTCCGCCTCCGGCAATCGAACCCGCGACCTCCCTCTCTGCAGTCAAGCGCTCTACCGACTGAGCTAATCCTGCGGCGGTGAAAACTGTTTGATATCTTCTTCATAACTCTACAGGAGCATTGTGTATGGGCGGGTAAAGGCACTAAGCACAGAATTGGGATCATTCTACCTTTCTGGGAAACTGCTCACCTACCCCTCCCCTAAGCCAACATTTTGCCTTAAGTGAGAAGTAAGTCTTAATGTTGGCTTAGGGGAGGGGTAGGTGGGCAGTTTCACAGAAAGGTAAAGTGATCCCAGAATTGACCTAAGACAGCAATATCCTCGTAACGTAGGCAGCCCCTTTAAACACTTGCTCTGCGCTAACCCACATTCTATTTTCAGGTAAACTGTCGTCGATCTGATATAAATCCCTTCTAACACGACTCATACTTATTGTGATCAAGCTAAAACAGCGTTCGGGTTCCCTGAGATTAGGACTAAAAGTGTTAAAAAAAACTTTCATGTACAACAAGACACAAGACCAAGTGACTCTAAGTGGATTCCATCAGTACAATCACTTCCAGTGAATTTCATGTTGCATCAAATCTTAGAAATTTTATCCGTTAGAGGTGCTACTGATTAACAGTACAAAGGTGTGATGGAAATATCTGAACTATTATCATAGCTGTTATCCACGCTTTTCTTACAAAAGATTGCCTCATAAAGAACGCCCAGAAAAATCGGGAGGTCGGTCTATTTCCGTGTTTACTTACATCAGTGTCGCTTGGGTACATTAGAATGGTGTAAGCAAAAAAAGAAACCAGAAGAAAAGGGACGGTTACTAGTCACATGGGATAAAATTGGCCAATAGTTGACTGACACGTTCTTAGCAACGATCCCAGAAGTCTTGGCGAGAGTTAACTCGGCCCAGTTTCCCTCTCGCCCATGCTTTTTGTCGCGGCGTGAAAAGTTGGACGTAAAGTTTAGCCGTGTCTTTATCAGATATAAAGACACTCATTAAACGTCATTTTTTTTGTTTGTTTTTTCCTTATGAAATATTTTAAGTGTTTGAATCAAATATTTACACGGCTTAAGGCTACGTTATTGTCCTCGGAAGTTCCTGCTCTCCACCAAGACTGAAGAGCGCCCTGAAAAAGCTTTATCCAACTAACCTGTCACCTCCTTTATTTCTTCCTCCACCACCGTACCCAAATCTACAATAAAACCACGTTTAATTAACAGTTTTTATTTGAAGACCGCCCGGATTCAAGCGAATCGTCGGCTGTCACTGGGTATTATATCTCTCTCTCGACGTCTGACTGTCTTGTGTTTTGGACGTTTCTTACGACTGGCCAATTAACTCATAAAGGAATCTTGATGTGTTACCATGGAATTTGACTAACAACACCCACCCTAAAACAACAATAGAGCAAGGTACCCTCCCTCCATGAAACGGGCCCCAGAGGGTAGGGAAAAGGGGAAAATATTGCGCGCGAGAACACAAAGTGCATAATTCGCGTCCTCGTGCGGGTTATTTTACCTTTCACCCTCTTCTCTCGAGCGCCATGGAGGTGAAAGTAAAGTTACCCAACGTTTCTCTCAGGGAATCACACCCTGAGTGTCATTCATAAGAGCACGTTTCGCGGAAGGCGAGCATTAACTGCTGCTTATGGAAGGGACACGGAGTGCTTTCCTGAGAGAAAGATGGGCCCAAAATTAGCCTTTCTTCTTGTTACCTTCGTGGTTTTGGCGGAAATGTGTGTCCTCTACCGTACATCTCATGTCCGTATCCCCCGTAGCTTGGAGGAGTATAAGGACCACGGGGACCTGACAACAGATAAGAGAAACTGAATCAGTACTCTGTTTCTTTTTCTTGGCCTGCCAAGTTGTACAGTCTAAAATTCAAAAACAAAATCAATAGATTTTTCACGCGTTACGCTTCAGAGAGTTACACACAATGAAAAAAGTTCAAGGTTGGGGTGGACAATTTCATACAAACCAATGTAATATTTTATCCAAAGCTTCACTTGATCATAGGGATGCGGGACACACTTCCCTAACTTGGCACATTTACCCGTCCTTATCACCAGACCACAGCTTTCTCATGCATGCATCAACTGTCTCGTACGCCAGACTCTCTGGCAGCACTACTTCGTTGTATTATACTCTCAATCTAACCTCAGTGGAAGGCATCAAAAAGGCGCATGCTCGGTTCAGGCAAGCCAGTAAACTTCCTGTTACTTACCGTACATCATCATTTGGGGTCTAGGTCCCCATCCCATCATGCCTTGTGAGTGTTGATGTTGTCCATACATTTGACCCATCTGGTTTCCAGGCGGCCTCTGTGATGCTGGAGCCTCAGGCATTTGTGGCCGTTTGGGATCTGATAAGTATCTGTTGAAGAATTCCGCCTGCGGAAGAGTCAAACAAAGGCTTATTGTTAAGAGAACGGTGCATTTCATAAAATGAGAAGAAGAGGGGCCACTTAACAGAAATATAGCTGCAACTTACATTTGACAGCCAAGTCTAAGTTTTCTTTACCAGACAGTATTGATAGGCCAAGGACATTTAATGGCTGTAAATTGTCCGTACACTTCTGTAACACAGTCAGCATTACAAGTGATGTTTTGACCATGTGTTGCAAAGTAAGATTTAATATAGCACAGGATATAAATTAAACCAAATCTATGGAACAAAAATATCCATGTTTGGTGCCAACTGTGCGACAAACAAAAGAAAGAAACTGAAACATATTTTAGGAGGCCTTAGCAGTCTTTTTTCTTGGGAAATCCTTTTAACTACCATTTAAATTTCACTAGAAATCACAGAAAATATCAATGATGATAACATCTGGGATTCTACTGCAAGCCAGCGCAAAGTTTTAAGTCCTGAGACCTCATTGCAAATTAGCGAGAAAACTAAAACAAAATGATCTGATATAGAACAACAAAGTTTTCAGGCTTAAAACGCAATGCAGGCATTTGACAGAGACTCGTGTATTTACAACGAAATTTTGTATATCTGTATTCACGAGATTCTGTCTATAATAACCCCACGCAAACTGAGCCATTTTCTGGACAGACCACCTTCGAGTAACCGGTAAACATGGTACGCGTTGCTGATCTTTCAAAGGGGGCGGCAGAACTTACCTCCATTCTAACAGCTTCCACTTTGTCCATGTGTTTGTTGAAGATATGCTTTCTAACAAAGTCGGGCCCTCGGAATTTCTTTCCGCTGAGAGGACAGAGCCACTTATCTTTTGCCAATTCCTGAGTGTTAGCTTCAACAAACCTCTCTGTTTCAGTAATCTATGTTAAGGCCATAAAACTCAGGGAACGCTTTACTTAGGTGTTGATATAAACAGCACGAGGAACTAATCCAGGTGTTTACTTTCCTTGGCGCACTCTCCAACGTAGTAATGATTTGCTAAAGTGAGGATACTGGAAGGGAACTGACGACAATTTTAAGGTATCACTTTGAAAAGTTGGACAGCGATTCCCTTTTACAAGAAAGATTAAAAATATTCAGTAGCAAAGTTAACCTATAGAGCAGCATCCTAAATGCCACGACAGAATGACACGGTTATAAGAAACTGTGTTTATCCAACTGCTGATTAACATTATGCTGTTTTACTTAAAGGATATGCTTCAGGATCTTTTTTGCCGAGCTTAACAACTTCTTCGTCCATCAACGACTCTTTTTCTTGCCAAAATGGTTCAAGCCTCTGGTTTAAACCCTTCTGCCATTCTTGAACTAATAAGAAATGAGACCAAGATTTTTGAATAAAAATTAGTGGTGTTCACACGTAGTTAACATCAGCGCAGAACGTAACACCACCGGACAAGCCGTAAAAAGGGACCTTTAGATTCGATGATGAGGACGGCTACGACGACAAGATTTGACTCAAGTTTCTTCGCATACTCTTTAAAAAAGCAAACACCCCGAAAAGCCTCATTTTACTTTTTTCACCATGAAAGTTAACACGTTTATTTTTATTGAAGGAGATGAAGCCCCCTCCCGACCGCAAAATGGTAAAACTTCTAACATTTGATAACTTGTTCCGCCACTACGACATTCTCGCTAAAACTCGTCGTAGAATGACGACAGCTACCAGGTTTTCCCGCCGAAATGACGCACGCTGGTTAACGCAAGCGCACTACTTAGTATAGAGAAAATCTCGTATTCCTAGTCATCCTCGTCTTAAAAAACTAAAGGTCTCTAAAATCCAATCTAGCAATGCGTACGGTGTACATGGTATACTTATGCTAGACCGGTGTAGCTAAGAGAACGCATCATCAAACGCGTCCTAGAAAATTTAGTATGAAGGGTCGAGTCCGGTAATAAGTTAATTGATTACAAAAGTTTGACGTCATACCTTCAGCCAGCGTGCACTTTTCTGGTGTGGCTCCACGCACGTGAATTATCCCACACCTGTTGGGCATTTCGTCTTCATACGGGTAATCCAAGCCATTGTAGTAATCCAGCGAATGTACTACTCTCAAGTACAAAACTAAACGATCCAATACGCGCAGCAATCCACTGTCACGTGATAGGTCCACCTCAGGCTTGTCACCAGACTCCCCTTGAGTTGGCGAGGCCGTTCCCATGAGCTCCATCTCCTCGCCTCCTTCCTCCTCGGTCGCGTCTTCTGAAAGCGAGGCCAGGATGGGGTTTTCGTTGGGGAGGTCTGGTATGTCGGAGTCGTCAGCTGGCTTGGCTTCGCACTCTTCGCCCTCTTCTGTTTTCTGAAAAATATTCAACAACCCAGCTTCTTACTCTTAAGCAACAGTCGCATCTTGCCGAGCAGAAAAGAACGAGTGAGTCCAAGGCGAACTTAATTTATCAACCTGTTTCTGTGTTTAAAGGTTTTATTCACCGACCAGTTTCAACAGAGGTGAAAATTTAAAAGTAGTTTACAAGGCCAAAGACCGTACAATCTCGTAATGCTGTCAAAATTACAAGGGGTGTTTTTTGCTTTGCGTTGTGCATAAAGTAAAACTTCAAAAGGCACAGGATTGTAAGTAAAACCAAGATATGGCTCACTCTGCACCAAAATAGACTCTCTGGACCGCCTATCATCGGCCGGCACTTAGGCTAAGACCTCAATAGCACCTATCCCGTTTCACTAGAAAGTCTAAATCCAAATCGGTTCTATATTACAGCGATTTTTAATCCAGTGTCGAAGTTAACTTTTTAATTACCTTGATTTTCCATTGCGGTTGGCTAGAAAAATAACACGCCACTTTCTAGACCAATAACAGGGTTCTATCTAGGATTTATCAATTTGGGGGAGAAGTCCTTAGTGGCCGAAGGCGACAAGCCTCTTAGAGGGGTCCCCCACCCGAAAATTTTTTGAAATGAATATGTGCTGAGATGCAATCTGGTGCATTTTGAGACTAAATTTTGAGAAATGTTACAGTGTGTGCACTAACCTCGTCGCGTCTTGATGATTTTTTCGATATAGTGACTTATATACTGTAATGACAACAATATTTTTTGGGGGGAAGCTGGGCATTTTGGGGGGAAGCTTCTACCCCTCAAATACCCTAGATAGAACCCTGAATAAGGAAGGAAAGCCAAAACCACACGACTCGCTAACACGCGTTTTCCCGTGCTTTGCATCGGCTACACGTCGCTACTTCAGGATCTTATTGGTTCATTCAAACACGTGCAGCGTTTTGTGATTGGTCAGAGTAGTTAGCCTACCTCAGCAGCTTCTTTCTCTGCTTTCTCTCTCGCCTCAGTCTCCTCTTTACTCTCTTTCTCGTAGATGCCGGCTCTTTTGTCCAGTTCCCGGATGAGCTTTGCAGCAAGTTTAATGTCATCTCGGATAACTTGCTTTGCTGTAGCGGCACCAGAAACTCCGCGAACTCGCCGAGAGAGGTCTCTGTTAACAACAGGACTCAATTCTGTATCTTTCACCTTCACAGGAAAAAGAAATAAAATGCTTTCGTTTCGTGGTATTTCATTAGATTTACAGATATTTAAAAAAAAGGAAAAAGAAAAAAGGAAAGGAAAACTCACTCTTAAGTTATTTAGCTCCCAACAGATTTCCTTTATGTTAACGCTTCTGTCAAAAGTGATCCACCCCCGTCTGAAGAACCTACAGAGACAATTAGACAATGTTTTTTACATTTTCCATTGCCAGCAATAGCAACACAATTGTGAGCCACGAATAAGGGCTGAATCACACATTAATACCCTAACTAATGCTCTAATTAAGCCCACCCGGCACGATGAGGGAGGGGGGTGGGGGGCTTATTTATTTAAGCGAAGACGATGGTATAAATTTTCAATAAAGAATTTTAATGCAAAGTGGAAACGCTTGGAGGTCATGAAGCCGAAGGAAGATGAAAAAACAAATTTGAACTTTCAGCACGTAAATGAACCATACCAGATCAGTGCACATGGAGTGTTACAGTCATCTTAATTGATATACTCTATAATTTATTTGTTTCATTGTCAAGAATAATAAGGGGGGAAGGGGACTGGAGGTGGGGGCTTATTTAACCTCTGCACTATTCAAATGGGAGGTTCCAGCCCACTCTACCCCTCCTGATACTATGGACCCACCTACTATAGGAGGACTCAAAGAGTTGGCAAAAAAGCAAAACTTAACAAACCTGACCCTAATTATTAAAGACTGCATGATTAATAAATTAGAGAGACACCTACTTTCTGTCAGGACTCGGGTCTGAGAGTGCAACACGAAGAAATCCAGCAAATCTCTTGCACATCTGAAACAGAAAAGGGTAACATTCAAGACTATAAGTGTACTGCTTGTCACACCATACAATTTCATCCAGAATGAAGAGTAAGGATAAACTTCGACAGTCAAATACACAGTTTCAAAAGAGATAAGCTTTCGGTAGCTTTCATTTGAATGGTCACACTTAGGAATTTAATATTAGGATATTAATCTCGCAGGTTCTTTTTCAACTGCTTAGGTTGTTTATTCAACTGCAAGGATCATATCTGCTCTCACATAACTGATTTTGTGAGTTAAACTCATCGCTAATGATGAGCTTGGGAACTGGTGCCTTAAAGGTTAGTGGGGGGCCAAATGCAATAAGCAGAGAGGAGGTATCTGCAATGATTCGCAAGAAGGCAAACATTGATCCGCGACTATCAGCAAGAATCCGCACTGATTTGCAAGAAGGCTAAGAAATGAAGGCGATGTTAGTCGTTCGTTTCGATGTTACGTTTCGTTGTGATCGTTAAGGGCACACAAGGAGCCCTGCAATTCCCCGCGGGCCGCCCCGTAGGTCACATACTGAAGTGGGAGAAGACTGCTGGCCAACTTGCTCGAGTTTAACTTTGCCTAAATGATATTTAGCCACATTAAAAAATAAATCTCCTTACTGCAGCAATGTCAGCTTTTGATATTCCTGGTGGTACACTCCTCATGAACAAAGAGAATGTTTTGTGAAGTGCGCGAGGTTCTCCTACAGTTGACAACTGTTTTGATTCATCAGTCTCCATTGGCTCCTCAGCTGTGTCTTTCTCTTTCTCTTCAGTTGTGTTTTCCTTGTTGTCTTTTACTACTTCTTTAACGGGAGTAGTTTCCTCCACAGCTTCCTTCTTTTCTGATAACTTGTTGGAATCCTCCTTTGCCTCTTCAACTTTGTTTGAATCAACTTGCTCTGGTTTCTAGATTTACAGTAAATACAGAACCAGGGCTGTCACTGAGATTTCAAGTTGACAGTTATATGCAATTAACAGGCGGGGAATTGAAAAACAAGGAAGTTCTTTTGATTTCATTTTCGAGTTGTTTCGTATGAAAGTATCTGGGGTCAAGCTCATAGTAATCGGAGAAAAGAGTTTAACCAGTGTTTAACAAAACCCCATTGTAAGCCATTTTCAGTTTGCCGAACGCTTTTGTGTAAACGCCACTTTTAATTTTATTGTGAACAGTTTCATGAAAGCATATGGTGTAGACTAGAAAAGCATTCATCTTCTTAAAATGACCCACTAAGGAAGACATCTGCAGGTTGAAAGATTTCCTAAACCGTGGTCTAAGTTAGACTTTCTTTAAATAACCAACCCTCAGGGTCTTTGAATAGCTGAAAAGAAAGTGCTGCCTTTGTAGTGACATGAATTTTGCAAATGGTTTAGACTTTCTAGATAAGGACGAAAAACTGTAGGTCCCGTCTCAAAGCAAGTTCACTTGTCTTATGAGACACAAAGAACCTACACCACAGTTCGAGCAGAGTAGGGGATGTAGACCCCAGTTCTATGGCCAACCTTTCCTGGGTAGGGTGGGTTATCTGTTGAAAGAGATCTTATGACCCTCCTTCAGGTGTCTTTATGGCCACCAGTGAACAGTGTATATGAAATACATAACCTTGGGTATATGAAGCAACATCAGATTTCATAACAATAGAATAATATTACATGCGCTTTGTTCATGTAGTTAGAATCCTCAAGGTATACCTCTTCAGAAGACAGTGCCTGTGTAGAGGGTTCTACAGCAGATGATGCCAGACTGGACGGTTCTGCCTCCATTGAAGATACTACCGGCGTCTCTGGTTTCTCCTGCGCCTCGCTGCTGGATTCAGGGATCATTTCAGCTTCCTGGTGCTTTGCGGTCACAGTATTGTTACCATTGACAGTACTACCAACCAAATCAGAGTCCTTCTCAGGAGGGGCGACAGAAGAGCTGCTTGACTCGGCCTGTTCAATACTGCTGGTCTCAGCAGGGAACGTTTGTTTGGTTTCTTTGGTGTTTGGGTCTTGGGTGGAGTCGGCAGCTGTGTCATCTGTTGAAAAAAATTCAATCATGTTTTGATTACCAAGTTTAGATCTGATCCATGCATGATACAATAAGCTACACATCATAACAAACAAGATAGGAAAAAGAAACTTCAAAGGTATGCCTTTGAAAAGCCAGAATGGAGCTTGGCCAAGAGTGATGTAGATTATAAAAGGAGAAAACAGAATTCCTAAATTTCTGTTAAGGTTACCAAATAGAAAATGTAAGACTTGCAATACTGTTTCGTAAAAGGTCTACCCAATATACCTACATGCAACCCAAACATCAAAATAACAGTAATCTGAACATAATGGTTTTAATAGACTATTATGTTTCACATCTTTTCTGCATTACAAACAAGACTAGTTTCATTCAAAGGTATGAGTACCTGAAGTTTGTGGATTTACAGCAGTTTCCACTTCAGTAGTTTTTCCTCCTTGTGATACTCCATTACTGCCACTGATGGATTCAGGCTGGGTGGATCCTACAGCAGGCTCACCAGAATCTGTATAATACATGAATTAATATCAGAGACGTGGCTATGAAACCTTGGAGTCAAGTGACAGACTTTTTTGTAGGGAATAAAGTCAAGAATCAAGAGTTATTTCTAGTTTTATTCTTGAGGAGAATTGCACATAACTTTACACTGAAAGGACATAAAGGTTGTTGTATAACGGCACATGTCCAACTGAGTCATCAGTTTAGTACAACAAATCATGTGGCAGGACTCTATCAATGATGCATTACAATTAGGTGTGGGACATGTAGGTATACCGATGGCTTCCTTATATTCAGAACAATGTTATTTTGTTGGTTAAGAAAATTTACGTGCACTCTGCAGAGATTTTGTTCATCTGCAGATGAAACCCCGCGGTCACCAGATTACAAGTCCAATGCACTGACCACTCGGCTACCCTGCCTCCCTACAAAATAAATGTTTGAATTTGGAGTCCTCTGGAGTATATACAGAAAAGTTTTGTATCTGCACCTGGCTTACTTTCATCTGTTGTGGCACTTGGCTGCTTTTCAGAATTTGAAGAACTTGTTGGAAGTTGCTCACTTGTTTCAACTTCACTGGGTTTAGGTGCGTCTACCCCTACATCAACTAACAATTTTTAAAAAAGACACTGCATTAGGGCCTGTCCAAAGACTTTCACAGAAACTTCTATGGTTCTCAGGTAGATAGACTAGGGAACATTATTATTTATTATAATACAATGCAAAAAAAAATCCCCTTCAGTTATCTTTTCCACCCAAACTACCATTTTATGGGCAGATTTGGTTGTTTTATGCTCACCAATTTTTTTTTTTCTACACAACATTTAATTGGGTCTATTCACTTCAGGGAAAAGAAATTTGCCAAAACCTCAAGGATCGTGAAATAGTTTATACATGGTAGCACAGGTGGGTAGTGGAAAAGGTGTTCAATGGAATTTTCTGGTCAAAGTTAAATAAGATTTTTCACTTTTCTCAAGTTTTCTGACTGAATTACACCCATTTAAGTATGGTTCAAAAGATGTCATCCCTGCAAAAATTAGGCATCAGGGTTGTCTGGAGATGAATCACAAGACTACAGTATTACAGGGGACAAAGTTGTACAATGGCAATTAAGGGCAATCAAGGTGTGAATGAGCTTACAAATGTCTACTGTAAACAAAAGTTGCTTAATATATAAGGTACTGTCAAGTGATGCCAATAAACTGATTTCTGTCAATACTCACCTGGTGGTACTAAGCTTTCATCAATGCTTGGTGCCTCAGCCTCCACCCCTGGGGGCAACAGTTCTTTCTCCTTTCCACTTTCCACTGGTGACATTTCCTCCCCAGGGGGAGCAGGCTCAGGTTCTGAGTCGGATTCAGACTCACTCTCGCTCTCGTCATCCATAGCATCATAATAATAAGGTTCACGGTGGCGACGTTTGCGCTTCTTCTTGGGTTCATCCTCCTATACTCAAAACAAATTTATTTCTCTCTGAGTTCTCTCACCTTTAAGTGACATTTTTAAGAGTGCATTAGATTGCAGCTGCAGTAATTTCACTAAAAACTTTTGGAAGGTGTGGGTTGTCCTAACATAATTGGGTGAGTGTTGAAGGAATCAACTTCTACACATGTCGTAACTTCAGCAAATCTGAATACAGTCTACATGTACTCTCTCTTAACGGACACCTCTATAAGATGGACACCTATGTAAAACGGACACTTAGAGTTGGTCCCTGCCTTTCTTTACTCCTTTTGACTCTCTATAAGATGGACACCTCTCTAAGATGGACATTTAGTGCCAGTCCCAAAGGTGTCCGTCTTAGAGAGAGCTGACTGTATTAGTATCTTAGAAAAATTAAACAACATTTACAAGGCCTATACATGTAAAACAGAGCCAAGAACCAGTTAAAGTACTGTTTGGAGATATAGACACTAGGGATGGTAGCTGCCAGAGATAGTTACATGCCTAGTGGTACTACACACAAGGGTTAGATTATTGAAGGTGCTGAGGACCTAACGGTTTTCCCCCTTTCCCATTTCATTCTTACTTTGATATTTAACAATTATTC